ACTATTTAGCTTGAGTTCAAATAAGTCAGGCTGAGGCATATATAAAATATGGGTTTTCCTCCATTTCGTATTCCTGTTCACCTACAGATAATGGGTGACGACACAAAGTTGATTCATTGTGTTTAAGGTTTGCACAATTTATGTGTCCTTGTTCTTCTCCTCCTCCTTCTCGTCGCCAAGTTCACCGCCGACAAACCAGGCCCGATGCATCCTTGAGACGAAATTACATAAGAGGCCAGTGCTTGGCCCATTGTCATTATTTTATCTACACAAATACAGTCAGTCAGTGGCCGCGGAAGCTGTGGGGACATCGGGGGATATTAACATTGTAGGAGAGGGGAGGCAGAGGTTTATATAAGATGAGGACATCGAACAACCGTGGGGACATTGTCCCTCTGTCCGCACCCTTCCGCGGCCACTGCATACAGTATACACCTTCCTCCTCCTCCTCCACCTCATTTCATTTCGAGGTCGGGATGGTGTCAATTTTCAAATATATTCAAGATCAATACAAGACAACTTTTGTATGTGTGAGTCAGTGAATTACTTCATATTTGGCTAAAAATAGACACAAGAAAGGTAACCTGGAATAAACAAGCGAGTAGAATTGTGGTACGAATTTGGAATAAAATTGTTAATAAAAAGTGCACAATTTCAAATAACATCTCACAAAAGAGGTGATCTGTAAGAAATGAGTAGAATTACTGGTATGGGACGAATTTCCAATTGTAAAAATTGTTGCAACTTCCAAAAATTCTTAAACCCTTTAACTTCAATGCTTGAAACCAATAAGACAACTTTTGTATGAGTAACATGGCTAAAAATAGGTAAATATTGCACACCAAATGTAAAAATATCTAGGTACATAGAAGTCTGTTGTGAAGTTTCACTTAAAACGAAACTTGTGCAATTTCAAAAAATTATGTAAGTCTTCCTAAATTAAAGCGTGTCTAAAACACTATGTACGTACATCTCTTTGTAAATTTTCTTGCTCACGTAGTCAAAATCCCACGCCTTTTTGTTTAAAGCTAAGATAAGTACATATCCACATACGCATAACCTGTAGGTTCACTACAGTAGAGGTATGTACAAGGTAAGGAGAAAGTGTAAATACGCCACGATGAAACTGTTTCGACTTGGCTGTTCAACTAAAAATCTCGCTCAGACACTGGCTCTAATCAGTGGCCGCGGAAGCCGTGGGGACATTAACATTGTAGGATAGGGGAGGGAGGGGTTTATATAAGATGGGGAGATGATGCGGACATCGAACAACCGTGGGGTAGGGATATTGCCCCTGTTTTGTCCCCACGCTTCCGCGGCCACTGGCTCTCATAAACTTTACGTCGGACTTACATACATATAATAAATCTCGAAAAAATCAAATTTCCTCTTTTCTCTCTTGTACTTAACATGGAAATTTTTTTGTAGTCTTTCTTTTATAGAGCCAGATAAGCAGGAAAATAATAAATTCTTATCATTTTTTTATGGGGGAGGATTAGTGTATAGACAAGCAAAAGTGAAAACCCGGTCTGAAACCTTAATAACCCACGCAACTCTACGTTTTTGTACCCAAAATGCTACTCCTGCTGCAGTAATGAGATCATTCTTTTGCAACAAATTGTGAAGATTTCTTCGCTCCTGGAGAATGAACAGGGGCCGCGGTAGGGTGGGGACAGGGGGACCATACCTGTTCAAAAATTTAATTTTCATTCAAAAGTCAGTCATCCCAATTTCTGACTGAAATTTTTCATTCACAGTCAATCATTTTCGTTCAAATTCATTTCATTTCATTTCACTTCATCTGACTTCATTCCTTACTTCGCTCCATGTAGTAAGCATTAGGTGAAAAATGAAATGAGTGAGAAATCATTTCATTCACAGACATTTAACTGAAATGATGGAATCTTTCAATTATCTTCACTCAAATCACAGGAAATTCATTTTCATTCACTCATTCACCATCATAATCACTCAAATGAATGAAAGTGAACAGGTACGAGAGGGACAATGTCTGCACGGTTGTTCGATGTCCGCATCATTTCCCCATCTTGTATAAACCCATCCATCCCTCCCCCATCCTACAATGTTAATGTCCCCCTTTGTCCCCACGGCTTCCGCGGCCACTGTCTTAAATTGAAAGCTGCATCCAATGAATAATTCAATACTTTTATAAATGACATTGACAGTTTCTCTTCATGAACAAAAAAAGAATCGAAAAAGAAGTGTTCAAATTTCCATCCTGAAATCAAAATTAGTAATATTATTTTGATGCAGATACGAAGAAATATAATAATGCGGTTTTTTTATCCATACCAAAATAGATTTTATGTTAAAAGTTGACGCATTTTTCTGCAAGTGCAGACGAGAATTTATGGGGAGAAAGAAATTGTGTAAGATTTTTTCTTCTTAAAAAACTTTCTTTCTTGCTGCGCAAGAAAAATGAAGCAATTTTCGACATGTCGATTTTCATATGAATATTTTCATTAAAAGAAATAAAATTGCTACGATTTTTATTTACGAAATGTTCCCTCGTAAATATTAATCCAATTTGGGCCAAACTTTCTCTCGGCTTATTTTCTCGTATATTTTTTTAAAATGAAAAAATACACAAGTTTATGCCACATTTATTTTTAGCATGCTCATCATCTTCTACATGGCAAGATTTGATTCTTGGGCAATTTGTTGATGCAATTGCAATTCAAGAATTTTAGGCAAAAAAAACATGTTTTTCGCTTTAAAGAACTACGGAATTTGTTGCAAAGTGTTATTTTGCGAGGAATATATGGATAACTAATTAACGTATGTATGTTTACCTACGCAGTTAGCTAGGTATATACAGGGTGGTTTAAATGTCAGGTTACAATGGAAAATTTTGCAATGGGAAAATATCCATTAGTTACGGATTTGGGATTGAGATTTTTATTAATTTTTATTAAAACTTATGACAAAATTCTTAAAATATTGAATTTCAGAGGCAAAATTAGGTAACTAATGGATATTTGCGAATTTTTCCCATTGCAAAATTTTCCATTGTAACCTGACATTTAAACCACCCTGTACTTATCTGCGGAGTGATCTAATTTTATTTTTTGCCATTAATTACCATAAAATCCAGCTAGTTATCAACAACAAGGACAAAATTTAATGAAGGAATTATAAACGAACGTAATCTCTTTGTTGTCTAAATTTTATTTCATCTTCTTAATGAATACCTATGTATGTACATGTGTATTACGCTTAATTTACCCAAATGCCAAAAGTTTTAGGGTAATCCTCTCCTTAACAAAATTTAAATGTGTACTTACAATGGGGACTCAAACCATGTTCAGCCCAGATTATTTTTTGATCATGTCAGTTTGAAAGAGAAACTCTTTAGAAACAACATTTAGTACGGAACTTGCGAAAAATGCGAAAAATTATGCAAGGTTTGGGCGCCACAAGTTCGCGAAAACCCACAATTTCTACTGTAAGGCCCAGATTCCGCTAGAAAACAGAGCATTTTCGCGAACTTGCGGCGCCCAAAACTCGCTGAATTTTTCGCATTTTTCGCAAGTTCCTTACTAAATGTTGTTTCTACCGAGTTCCTCTTTCAAACTAATATGGTAAAAAATAATCTGGGTTGAACATGGTTTGCGTCCCGATTGTTAAATAGCGAAAATTCTTCAAAGCAAAATTTTGCCCGGTTTTTAACAAGCGAAAAGCACAACAAAGTTATGGTACCCGGTACGAAATTCATTGTACAATTTAGTTCCGAAACACAAAATCGTCGTCCCCTTTGTTTTGATCTTTCCCTTGTTTTCCAAGAAATTCGGTAAACAAATTCATCCGCATGGCAAAGTTGTTGTACTTTGTCCTACCACCAACTAAATAACTGGTTAGTAGTTTAGTTTAGTTTCGTAGTAGAAAAACTCAATTTGTTCGTCTACACAAATTCTGATAGATTGCTTATCGATCGATTCCTTATAGTTCTCGTCCAATCATTTCATTTTATTTAACCACCACCACCACCACGAGCAATATTGTAATATAACTACTTCAAAAACGTGTCTGAATTTCGACTCATTAAACTTTTATCACTTTTAAACTGAGCATTTTATAAAAGAAAGAAAGAAAACCTTTTAAGTAATTCAATTCAATTACGAATAAGGTTGTATAAATAAATTTCTTGTAGATAGATACTCGCATTTTTTGCTATCAGAGTTTCGGGTGCAAGAAATAACGGGGAGAAAGTGGTTTCTTGCAGGTAAATATTTTGACCTGGGAGAAATGCAAGGCGCTAGAAACTGCGCCCCGCCGCTATAAATACTTCATACGGCGCGTGGCTAGATGGCGCATATTTCTTGCACTTTCTCACAGTTTCTTGCACCTCGCATTTCTTGCTTTTCCGTGCAAAAAAACGTAGCATTTCTTACTTTCCCCTGCAAAAAACGTAGAATTTCTTGCTTTCCCGTGTAACATTATTTGCAAGGAAAATTGCATTGAAATTGCATTTTTTTTAGCATATCCACAAAAGACGAAACTCTGGACATGATCCGTTACATGAAATGTATCGAGTGTGGTTTACCTTGAAATTTCGCACATGCCAATATTTTCCCTCATTCAATAACCTTTGCAAACCCACAAGAAACGAAACCCCATTCACAATTTTCATCCAACTGTTCCATATCCACAAATACATATGTACATATGTAAAGACAAGAAATGCAAGATCAGCCACCCAGCTCGTGCCTGGTTTCTAAATATATAAAACTTCATCCCAAAAAACGCACGTCAACTTTCTCTCTGGAGAAGAGAAACTTCTCCTTTCTCCTTGAATGCACTGCACCCAAAGTTATAATTGCATTACAAAATGCAATCTAAATCAGAAAATATAGTCCCGAGGGGATTATTCTTCGGTGATTTGTAACATATTCGTTCATCCAATTCTATTCGCGCATTTATCATGTCCTAAATAAAACCGACTTAATGATAACATACTGCCTGCTTCTGAATATTTCCAGGTTTTGACACGATCGGTCAGGACGCCCGCCTCCTCCTCCTCTCGAGATGAAGATTCTGTCAGAACCAATAATCACGACAAGATTCGTGGCTAAATTTGGGTTTAACTGAGTGAAAAAGAAGGCAAAAATATGGTCCAATTCTCGCCATTTTTTTCGCGACGAGGTGGAGGAAATCTGCACAGAAAGTACCACCACCAATTCAAGTTTAAGGGCACCCTGACCCTCACGGTGGCCCTGCTGGTTTTTATCGCCGAGACCAGGTCGTCGCCAGTCCGCGCGGAATTTCTGCGACCTAAAAGAGACGCGCCGAATGCAAATTTTAACTCGATGAGCCTCTCCAACAATAATCAGACAGCTTTTCCGAACAGTATTAAAAATGGGGGGAACAGATTGAGTAGCAGACAAGTGGAGGGGAATCCGCCCCTCGAGTATGGCCAACTTGTCATCCTTGCTCAGGAGGAGGCCAGGTGCTTGCAGAACTTTGTAAGTATTTTTTTCCTGCTAAATTTGCATACTTATATACTTTTTATTATTATGAGCATAGGACGGATATGCATTTATTTTTTTGTTTAAAGAAATTAGACTACAACAAATCCAGAATTAAATTCAAAAATTCAAATTTTGCAAAAATTCTCATTGTTTCTTAAATATTTTCCGCTTTTTCGAAAATATTCAATACAAATTTCAGCATTTTTTCGAAAATGCGTAGAATTTTGTTGCTCAAAAAAATTAGACAACAAAAAATTCAAAAGATTAAATTAAAAAATATTAATTTTACGAATATTCTGCGCATATTTTAAAACAAATTGGGCAAATATTATTCATATTTCCACAATTTTTCTCAAATAAATATCCACCCTCTGATCACTAGTCAACCCAAACAACAAAATGTCTCCTTTGTCCCGTTGTTCTTTTTTATACGAGCGTATCTAATTAACGAAATGGTGGGTGTTGTGCGTAGTAAAACGCGCATCTCAACTTTCTCTTGTAGTGTTGTTCCTTTTTTGTTCCCGTTTTAACAACCCACTCAACAAAAAAAAATGAATCTGAAACTTTCTCATTTTTCATACTCTTCAAACAAAGGTTTCCTTAATTGAAAAGTGTACCCAAACTTTTGTTCATTAAGAGAAAGTACTAAATATTAACAGGAAGCAGGCCGTGCTTTCACCAACCACAAGAGATCGATGAGTACACAAGCTTCCTAAAAGTTTCCGAAATCCTGTATCCACGAGAAATAAATTTCCTCCAATTAGATTTTGAACGCTCCACTTGACTCTTCGACGAGTGCCTAATTTTACATGGAATTTTCAAAGTGACTTTATAAATTTTTGAGATATTTACGTGCAATGCCCGTGATTCACGAGTGGGCCACTTTTATCTATGTACGGATACACGCATGTACATATCCGTACTTTCACTCACCTTTGTATTGAAGGGAAACACAACTGCCAAAAATAGAATGCAATTAAAGTTTCTGTGCTCTATACGAAATCAGAGAATACGTACATACCTTTAGAAAGTAGCTTTGATCCGGAATAATCCTACACACTCATTCATACATTTGTACCTATGTGTTACCCGAGAAACGATGAGGTAGACACGGCCCAAATGACGGTTTGTCCAGGGACTGAAGATCGCAATTTTGACCAAATTAGTGTCAATTGATCACAAATTTAAGTAGTATGAAATTTGCGAAAGGCACGATCTCCCAATGGGCACGTTTGGCCGTAATAGTTGCATCCCAAGAGGAGAAAACACGCAGTAAAGTTGAAAAATTTTGCACTTTCCAAATTTACTGGGCGTTTTCTCCTCTTCAAATGCAGGTATCTTCGCCAAACGTGCCCATTGGGAGATCGTGTCTTTCGCAAATTTCATGCTCCTTAAATTTGTAATGTATTAACACTTGCCTGCTCAAATTCGGAGAGCATACGCTGGGAGACTTACACTTCAATTATTTTTATGCGATCAACTGGTCGATGGTCTCCGAATGGATAACATTGGTCGATGAATAACGTTACCCAACAAAATCAGAATGGTCGATAATATCCTCAAACTTTAAGCTGACTTGTAAACTCACTTTCTCCCAAAACAATCATCCCTCAAAATCCATAAATACGAGACACAAGTTCATCGCTGTAGACAAACCTTCGTCATTTCGACCAAGTCTGGCTTAAGGCAGGCTTTTAACATGTCACATTTTTCTCCTGGACGTGCTTATCGATATGTTTATCGGGTTCAAAACCTGTACATACATACACACCTCTATAGAACTAGACTATCTCTCATACCCTGTGATCCTCTTCTACGTATGCATTCCTCGTGGGAAAAGCATAGTTTGATGACTTCTTTTTCATCTACTTACATACAAATTTAGGTGCATATCCATCCGATCCGACCAAAGTATAAAACAGAGCTCAGAGCTGTCTCTTTCGATTCAGCGAACTTAAGCTGATATATTTTTGAATTCCTTCCGCATGTGGGAGTAGATATGCACTGAAGGTCGGCAAGCTTATCTTGGATAACTTGAAATGGCCAAAATTACCCCATTTTACTCCGTTTTACTGTCACTTTCACTTTCTTCCAACCACCACTTTCACCAATGAAATTTCATCCATTTTGCGCAATTGGGGGTCAAAATTAACGACTTTTTGTCCCCAATTTTACTGGGGTAATTAGAAAGGTAAAATTGTACATAAAGTTGTTCACAATTGAGGTTAAATTTCTGGAAACTTTTGCAATTAAAAAGCGGAAATAGTTATAAAATGAAATGAAATTAGTAGGTATTGACCAAAATCTGGTCTTTTTAAGATGGCACTTTCTCCTGGAGAGAAAGCCTGATTGTTCAGGAGAGAAAGGCTGGCTGACACGTGTACCAATTCCGAGGAAAGTTTTGGATTTATTTTATTTTAAAGTTTTTACACTGGCAGAGTTTGACGTTTGTGGGAATTTATGACGTGGGTTGACCACGATATGCAATATGCCATCAAATTCAAATTTGCACTGGGAGAACAACGAACCTGGTCCAAACTAGGGATCCTTTTTTCAGTGGCCGCGGAAGCTGGAGGGGACAGAGGGACAACGTCCCCAAAATTATTCGATATTTTCATCATTACTCCATGTTATTTAAATCACTCCTTATTCTCACCATTCTGCAATGCTAATGTCCCCACGGCTTCCGCGGCCACTGGGAGAATTCTGGCTACTAAAATACATGAACATGATGCAGTGGCCGCGGAAGGGTGTGGACAAAGGGACAATGTCCCCACTAGTATTCGATGTCCGTATCATTTCCCCATCTTATATAAACCCCTCCCTCCCCTATCCTACAATGTTAATTTCCCCACATGTCCCCCCGCTTCCGCGGCCACTTCGCATGGCGAATTCTTGTGGGTGAAAGCAATCCCACGCGCCCGGACAAAGTTCAGTGATTCGTCCCGAATTCATTCAGTGGTTGGTTGGTTTGACGAATTCATGGAAATGAAAATGCAGTTATTCACAAATGTAATTAATTACGTTTTCCACCTTAAAATTAATCAGTGAAACGTGCCCAGATTTTAATTCGGGTATTGAAGAAGAGAAATGATGACTTCCTCTCCCTCTCATTGAGACACTGAATATGTAAATAAGCGTCGGTACAGAATTAGGCATCTGGTCTGAACTGAAGGGGCAGAATTAATTCGCTGCTTATTGTCTGATTTGTAACCACTTACTTACACGTGTTCATTATTATGTCAATTATGCTGTCCTACAAAGAGTATTTAGTAGGAAAGGGAAACTCAATGTCAATTTCATTCAGCAGTGGCCGCGGAAGCCGTGGGGACATTAACATTGTAGGAATAATACTTGTCCAATTTTTCCTTTAAATTCAAAAATCAGGCAAAAATCATGACGACTTAAGATTTTCATTCACATTCAGTCATTTTCTTTCAAATTTATTCATTTCACTTCATCGGACTTCATTTCTTACTTCGCACGATGTATTGAGCATATGGTGAAAAATGAATGGAGTGAAAATCCTGCCACAATCATTCATCTGAAATGACGGAATCTTTCACTCATTTTCGTTCAAATGACCTGAAATTCATTTTCATTCAGGGGAGATGGTGGGGACATTGTCCCTCTGTCCCCACCCGCGCGTCCGCGGCCAATGAATTTCATTCTGAAATCCATCTCATTGTTTTAATGTTATTATTTCTGATTTTCCAGGGAGCTCAACCATACTCCACACCTGCACCACAATTCATCACGAAGGACGTTTACAGCCCGTTCCTCTGCAGCAAAAACTCGGACAACTTTGCCAAATGTGAAATTGTAAGTGATTAATAATCTATGGAGTAAAGGTCGGGCTCCTAAGTGGCAGGTGGCTATGATTTGTTTCGTGCTAATAACTTGTAAAAAATTTCTATTAATTTTTTTCAGTGTCGAAACCTCACTCTTCGAGTTCGAAGCAGAGATGAATGCGTGGCATTTTGTGTAAGTGATAGATTCTCATTGATAAATAGGACAGACGTGGAGAAAGCAATTTGTCTCAGTTTGCCTCAATCACCCATTTAACGTATCAGTGACACCAAATCGTCAGAATCAGCACGTTTTTAATCATTTCTCCGCTCTGGAAGTTTATTTTACAATTCTGGACAACAAATTTGTAGTGCAGGAAGTTGTAAATTTTTTGAAAATATGCACTCCAGATTTTGACACTTTTTGAAGGAGATCTCAAGGTTTAGAGGCCGTAAGAAAAATTGGAACTCATAAAAGCTACCTGAAAAAGCTCAATGCTATTCCATTAATCAACTCACTGACTACAAATGTGTCGTCCAGAATTTTAAAATAAATTCCCGAAACAGAAAAACATGTTGATTTTGATGATCAGTCTTACACTAAGTTTTCTATTGTACAGTTTTAAAGAATTGCGTCGCACTATAAAATAATTTTCCAACCTGTAGAATCTTCATTTAATCCCACGCAGTTTAAAACATACTGTTTTCCTCCACCCATTATTAAAAAGGATTTATCCACGTGAAACCGAAAAGCTCATTATAAATTGTATTGTGAGAATCAACTCGTGCAGCAACACACACTTTTTATCCAGAGAATTCCTCCTCCATAATATTTTCCCCGTGTACAAAATCTGTGGTCACGGTCAGTTTCGCGAAAATCGAATTGGCGAAAATAAATTTTCGCTAAAGTTGTAAAAAATACCACATAAAAAGTACCACATGTCAAAATTACTGTTATACTGCGATTTTTTGTGTCGAAATTTTTCGCCAAAATGGTTTTCGCCAAACCTTCCCTCTTCAAAAACCTGTTGCAAAATCCCACCAGCGTCCTTCCTCCCCGTTTAATAAGTAAGCTGCTTCCCACTCGTCGTCCTTCTCTCACTTTCACAACCAGTGGCCGCGGACCCAATGGGGCAACTGGGGCATTAAACTTGTGTACGATAGGGATATGAAATGCTGAGATGATGCCAACATCGAATAACCATGGAGAAATTTTCCCTCCGCCCCCTCTCTCCCCGCGGTCACTGTTCCCACCCCGAAATCTCCTTTCATCGCATTACTTCATTATTCATCACAATCATTTCAACCTAAAACTTAAAAAATCCTGCTCTAAATTTCATTTCAGACCTTTTCGGATACCTCGTTCTGCCAAAATTTGTGCTTCTCCATAAATAAAGCGGTCCTTGACGGTGCTCAGCTTGCCAATGAAGACGCTCTCACGAGAAGATCCTCTTCCTCGCCCACATCTCAAGGTGATGATGACCATGAAATCGAAATCAACAACAAAACCATCACTTCTCATTCTCCCGTTTTCTCCCAAACCCCGCAAGTTTTCTGCGAAGGCGTTTCCGAAAATAATGCCGTTGGCGGGGGGAAATCTGGTGGCGGAAATCTGGGCCTAATTTCCACAGAAGATGGGGAAACGGACAAGTGGGACAACACAATGGAAATTACCAATCACTTCGTCGTCCTCAAGTGGGACGCGAGGCAACAATGGAGAAAGGCAAAGGCGGAGGGAGGAGGAGAAAGTGGTGACGAAGATCGTGAGGAGAACTTCCGTCACCCGAATTCCTCATCGAGACATCACAATGGTCCCGTTGTCTTCGTGATTGAAAAGTATTCTGGGAGATCAAAGGAGTGGAAAGCACTGGGAAAGGTGAGCCAGGGCGAGGACAGATTTTTAATATCGGGGCAGCTTTCTCTTTTTTTTTAAAAAATAATAAAAGGCAGACTGCAGTTTTTAGAGTGAGTAAAGGCTTATGTGATAGTCGTGTCTGTGTGTCTGTCCGAGACACGATAGAGAAAAAGGCTATCGTCTTAACTTTCTCTCTTTTAAAACAAAACAGGATGGAATTCAATTTTTAACCTGAGTCAGGACTTACGTAACAGTCGTTTCTGTGCGTCTCTGAGGCACGACAGCCAAAACAGCTATCTTCACAACTTTCCCTTCCTTAAAAACAAGTATTAAAAAGTCTATAATTTTTTGCCCGAGTCAGGGCTTATGTAAAAAGCGTGTCTGTCTGTCCGATATCACGATAGAGTCTCAAATTTTTCCCACATTTATGTATCTTAGACAAAGTTACGACTTAAATTCGAAGGTGACCAAAATCGGTTTTATGTATAAACAGACTCTAATCCCTGACTCGGGCTCAACGAAGTCTGCACTCTACGTTTGTTTATAGTTGTTGTTTGTAGGCTAATTTTAACTATTTATGAAGTCTTGTACCCTACAGAGTAAGGCGTAATTTTACTTTTTTTTGAGCCGTTGGGAGTTTTTTTTGTTGAGATGAAAGTTTACGCTTTATAATAGCGGAGTGTTTTGTGCGTTGAATTTTAATCGTATGCAAATTGAAGAGCTAGCAAATTGAATTTAACCCGGGTATCGTACATATATTTCCTACGTAAATAGATGCAGGAAGAATCGCGCAGTTATGTATTCCCTTTGTCAAACAATGATATATTCTCGACGCATTTGTCCCTCCCACTTTATAATGGGCACACTTTGGCATTTGTCGTATGCACGGAAATGAAAATTAATCCACGCGGTATCAAATACTTGATCTTCTCCAGTGAAGCGGTAAACATGTTGATGTTAGCCTTATCATTACGTCTGGGCTGAATAAATATGCACATTAATTAACCAGATTAGTGTGTAGGCTTTGTTTTGTTGTTATTCGTAAAATTTAAATATTTTCGACATGAGCAGTGTTTCGGGTGGAAGTAAGTAACCACTTGCAAGAAATAACGGGGAGAAAGTGGTTTCTTGCAGGGGAATATTTTCACCTGCAAGAAATGCAAGGTGCAAGAAACTAGATACGTTCCGCGGCTGTAAATATTTCATACGGCGCGTGGCTAGGTGGCGCATATTTCTAGCACTAAAAAATTAATTTGGGACGAATTTTGAAATATTTCTAAACCTGGAGGAAAACAATGAAGAATCTGGTCTTAATTTTATTATTCAGGCATTGCAAAACCTCGAAAACCTGCGTGCAAATCCATCAAAATCTGAAAAAAAATCTGAAAAAAACACAGTTTCCGACTTGGAGGGTGGTGGATTATCATACTGCGTGTCTCTAGATGCCGCATATTTCTTGCACTTTCTCCCAGTTTCTTACACCTCGCATTTCTTGCGTGGCTTGCTTTACAGTGCAAGAAATGTATTTATCAAACTCTCAACAAACGCCACACTGGATATTATCTCTCTCTCTCTCTCTTTAAATGTATCGACCATTGTTTACCCCGAAATTTCGCACATGCTAATATTTCGCCTCTTTCACTTTCACTCCATAGACGCTGTACAACCTTCAACAAATTAATGTCACGTTCCTCTCGGATACTTACAAATGGCGGGTTACAGCCGTTTCTCCGTCCGGATTTATGGACGAGGTCACCTCTTCCAGCTACGTTACGTTAAACGGTAATTGAAATAAATCGTCGTCGTGTGTTTAAGCACGTGGCCCCAAGTGTGTGTTGTGTGTGCAGTGGCCGCGGAATGGGTGGGGGCATGTGGGGACCTTAACATTGTAGGATAGGGGAGGGAGGGGTTTATATAACATAGGGAGTTGTTCGGGACATCGAATAACCCTAGGAACATTGTCCCTCTGTCCCCTCACGCTTCCGCGGCCACTGTTCTATGTGTATTTATCTCTAGGTACGTCTGTTTGTCGTACCATTTAAGACGAGCAATTTGGTCGAGTACGTAGAATTTTGTATGCAGAAGGACTCCCTTAAAATTCTTGAGAACATTAAATTCCTAAATTCTTTATGTATCCGGCCCATCTTTAGCTTTCCCTTGCTTTCACTCGTGTGTTACTGTTTGCCATGCTTGAACTACATAAATAACTGAATAAATAATGCTAAAATCTTGCCACTATTTGATCTCGACTTTACGAGTGGAAACGTAAATCTAGCCAAAATCCTATGGCAAAAGGAGAGATAGAGAAAGTTGTCGAGTGGTTGTTGAGTGAGCGAGGAGAAAGTTTGTGTAGGCAGAGAAGTGAGTAGGATACGGGGCAAAGTGCAAACTTTTTCAAGTGCACAGTGTACGTATTTTTGTATGCAAAAACTGTACGTGCTTTTTTTCTAGGTAAACATATACGTTAAATGATCCTTTTAAAAATGTCCTTCAACTTGCGCCAATGGTATGGAAATTTTGTTATGGCGCAAATTATGAAAGTGTTTATAAACACAGCATCCCATTGATTTTTTGGGCACGGTTCTAATACAAATTTGACCTGATCTGCTGATTTGATCTGCATTTATTTTAACTTGCGCCAATGTCGTATTTTTTTTACTACGGCGCAAGTTACCAAGCTTAAATTCGGTCTAAGCATTGTATCCTATGTTTGTGCACGCATTTAATACAAATCTGACCTGATTTTCATTGATAGTGTAATTTAAGCTGATGTTACACTTATTTTTTTAACTATGGTGCAAATTATGTACAAAAAAGTATACATAAATGCTTTAAGTAGTTTTATTGTATGCCTTTACCCTAAATCTGATCAAATGTGCTAGATAACGTGTGGACCTCTAAAGCTTTGTACTAATTCTGTATCACTTACTTTCTCTCGGCAGGATACGTCAAACCTGGACCCCCTCGTTCAATCTATGTGGTTAAAACGATCCCTGTTGACAGGTGAGTATGAACTTTGTATGGTTTTATACAGTGGCCGCGGAAGCCGTGGGGACATCGGGGACTTTAACATTGTAAGATGGGGGAGGGAGGGGTTTATATAACATGGGGAGATGATGCGGACATCGAACAACCGTGGGGACATTGTACCCCTTTTGTCCCCACACTTCCGCGGCCACTGGTTTTATGTATGCTACAAGGTTTTAACTTGTTTATTTATTTCCCTAATTTTCAGCAACAGTTCCATTGTTAACGTTCTGATCGGTTGGGATCCACCTCAAGGTAAAATATTTTAAGGGAACGGAACACGGAGAAAAGTTTTGTGTGGCCAAGGGATTATCTGGCATGCACTGGTTTTGCATATTTGAGTTCTGCATATACGAAACGTATCTACATGTGAGCACTAAGCTCATAAAAGTTGAATGACTTAATGCGCTTTCTCATCCATTTGGTGTATGTATGTACATTCATACGTTTTTTAGTGGACGGGGATTTGCCCTTGCAGAGAATGTGATGTACGATTACTTACTTTAGTGAAAACGGAAATCTCAGAGGTTTAAGTTTCTCTTAAAATGACAAGGGAGGTCTTCCATCGAATATTCTCGGATTTTGAGCATTTTAGTGTCAATCGATCGCAAATTTAATTGGGATGGAATTTGCGAAAGACACGATCTCCCAATGGGCACGTTTGGCAGAGATATTTGCATCCGAAGAGGAGAAAACGCCCAGTAAATTTGGAAAGGGTAAAATTTGTCGACTTTTAGGCGCGTTTTCTCCTCTTCGGGTGCAAATATATTTGGCAAACGTGCCCATTGGGAGATCGTGTCCTTCGCAAATTTCATACTAATTAAATTTATGATCGATTCCCATTAATTTGGTCAAAATCGGAGATCATCCACTGTTAGACGTCCCTTGTTAGTGAGAAAAGTTGGAATTTAATTTTTGTCTGTTTCATGAACGTAAACGTGATAAATAAAACTGTAAAGACGCAAAATAAATTAAATATTCATAAACCTTTTACCTGGAAATGTTTTTCACAGTGTTTTTCACAAAAAGTTTTCCAAAGTCATGAGGAACTGTCAACACGCATAAATATTTTTTACAAGGAACTCACTGTTTTGTTTGGTTAGAACAAAGCACAATTTTTTAAAGGTATCAATTTTGCAAAGAGTCAATTTTCCGCGATTGATCTCAAGGTTTTGACATGCCGTGATTTTTACAGAGAGAAGAATAAAGCAAAATTTCGTCTTTAAAGATTTTTTTCCTTTTGCTTTTTCTTTAATTGATCAGAAGAGGAAGAAACGGTCTGTAAATTTGTGAAACCTTGAAACCAAACCTTTCTTTTCTACTTTTGCAAAGATCTGAAGAGAGCGAATTGCTTTTAAATTCACTTTGTGTTTTTAGACAAAGTAGTTGCATACCAAAAAGGAGATCAAAGCGAATCAAAATAAAGAGACGGATCAAAAATCTGTAGGAAGAAAAACATACCTAATTAAATGAGTAGGTTAATAAAAAGCGAGGAGAAATTGACTTGTTGGCGAATTTTTCTGCAAAAAAAATATCCTATGCATAAAATTAGGAGGAGTGCAGCCGGATCAAAAACTATAGTAAAAACATACCTAATTAAATTAGTTAGTGAAAAAAAACGAGACCAGGAAAAGCCCGGGTGAAAGTGTAGACTTGCTAATAATTGGCGAATTTTTATGCAAAAAAATCTCGTACATTTTACTGCGCATAAAATTAAGAGTGCAGACAGATCAAAAATCTGTAGGAAAAACATACTTAATTAAATCAGGTGAGTAAAACGGAGGAAAAGCCTTGGTGAAAGTTTACTTGTGGATAATTTGCGAATTTTTCTGCGCAAAAAATTCTGTACATACTATTTTGCATAAAATTATGAGTAAATAATTGTAACTCCGAGACCGATTTTTATAAGAGTCAGAATCCCCTGATGTGCAAAAACCATACAAAATATCATATCGCGTTAACCCCTAAAACCTGGGGTCAATGGTTTCAAAACTTCCTGAAAAAATACAAAATTTAATATTCCCTTCTAGAGAAAACCTGTTACTACAAAATTGTCCTGGAGACTCACGAAGGAGCCGAAAAACCCATCAGAATTAAAGTAAGTTTTACTTTCTCCACTTACTTTCTCCTCTTAGATTCCTTTGATCTCGTCGTCTTTGACCTACTCAATCCTCCTGCTGAGGTCAGACGACGACGTTGACGCTGACATGGCCTCAGTATGTGTCTGGTCAGTGCAGTGTCAATCACCAAAAAAAGCGAGGAAGTCGCCCCACAAAGTTTAAGATTGAGGAGTTGATGTTGACTGATTGAATAAATATGTCACTCTTTTTTCCTTTTCCTTGTTGTCGTTTCCCGTTTTTGATGACATTTTTTTTCTCCCAAATTTTTTTATGTATTTATTCAATTGGGAAAAAGATCTCAAAGTGAAAGCTGCTGACCATGCAGGCCACTGAACTTAACAAGCTGGTATACATCTCGATGTTTTAAGTAGTTAAAAGAGTGGGAGAAAGTGGGATCATTCCACTCAAAGCTTTCATCCATCTGTATGGATACACTCTTAGAAAACTGGTATTAAATCATTACTGACCAGACTACATATTTTTGACTATACCAGCAGTGGTAATAAGGGGCATTACCGTTTAGTAATGTTGTGGCAATGCAAAATTTACCACTCAACTACTACCAATCCGGTAGGAAGTTATTACCAAATCAGTACCAGTTCGGAGTATATATGTGACTCAGATTGTTAACTAATGCAAAATTTAAATGCAAAATTTAATGCAAAATTTACCACTCAGAAACAAATTACTACCAATCCGGTAGGAAATTATTACCAAATCAATATTAGTACATGTTACTCTACCAGATTTTTAGCAGTTCATATATGACTCTACCGGGACCGGTAATAACGGGAATTACCACTGTTTAGTAATGCTGTGATACTAAAAAATTTCCCTTTAACAAACAAACTACTACCAATCCGGTAGGAAGTTATTACCAAATCAATACCAGCACATGTGACTCTACCAGATTTTAAAGAGTGCATCCATCCCGTTAGATAACAACAACAACCCACTACATAAAACTGTCAGATGCACGAAGAAATCACCCACCCGCATCCTTTGCAAATTTGTGTGCGGGGGATGAGACGCTAAAGTTTTTCTTCACTCGGAATTTTAAAGAATGCTCACATTACGAAATTAATTCTATTTTTATTTCCCCCAGGAACCACTCGGAGTGCATCAACACTGGTTCACTTTGCAGGCCGGGACACAATACTCGATCCTCATTACGTCCCGAGACCGGAGTTGGGACCAGTACTCGGAAAGCAATTTAACCCGGCTGGACTTTAAAACTCCGACTTGTCTGGAATCCTACAACTACCGGTTTGATAAATGCGGTGAGTTATGTGTATTCATGCAACCAGTGGCCGCGGAGGCTGTGGGGACATCGGGGGACATTAACATTGTAGGATAGGGAATGGAGGGGTTTGTATAAGATGGACAGATACTGCGGACATCGAATAACTGTGGGGACATTGTCCGCACCCTTCCGCGGCCACTGTACATAATCCTCTGCCTGTGAATTTAGCGTTGTATCTATGTAATCAGTGGCCGCGGAAGCCGTGGGGATATCTGGGGTCGTTAACATTGTAGGATAGGGAAGGGAGGGGTTTATATAACATGGGCAGATGAAGCGGACATCATACAACCGTGGGGACATTGTCCCTCTGTCCCCATCCTTCCGTGGCCACTGCATGCATACATACATTTGCCTAATTTTGTAGTAAAACCCGCTTTCAATCCACTCCTTTGATGGTCTTCGACGCGAATAAATTCGTAATTAATTTGAATTTGCCTTTCTCTTACATATGTAAATGCCCACTTGTCAAGTCCTCGAAATGTGACATATTTCCAAGGTCAATACCGTAAAATAGAGTAAATTGGTAATAGAATGTGTGTTACGCAGTCCATGTTACGGTACACGCCACGCCATTGATCCACTTACATAGGCGCCCTTGACGAAAGTACGGCTTGCGGCGGCCTCCCATCAAACAAAGCTGAGGGTGAATCCTCATTAAAAATGCATGAGCAAGCACATCGTAAATTTTTTCGGTGAAAATGAAACCCAAGCTGAAAACGTGTAAATGAAGCCGACACGTGGATGAAATGAAATGAAACTCAATCTGCTCCCCTTATGTAGTATTCATACTTGGAATAACAGAGTCAAGTTCAAGAGAGAAAGATGCGCGTTTCATGGGAAGACGAGAAATTTAGCGTATTTATTTTTCGTCGTGGTTAGGCGGGACACACTCGTGCTTTTAGTGTTTCGTTTCTTGCGGGTTTTCGTGTTATATTTCTTGCACTTAAAGAAAGAAATGTGAGAAATGAGGGGTGAAAGGAACGCAAAAAGTGCGAGGTGCAAGAAACTGGGAGAAAGTTGAGAAATGCTAGGTACAAAAAAATGGGAGAAAGTGCAAGAAATATACGCATCTAGTGACCCGCCGTATGAACTAAAGCGACGTGAAGTAGTTTCTGGCGTTTCGCATTTCTTGCAGGTCAAAATAGCTGCAAAAAATTGTCTTGCAGCTATTTTTTGCATTACAAAATAAGAAATGCAAAAAATGCGAGGTGCGAGAAAGTGCAAGAAATAAGCGCCATCTGACCACGCGCTGTATGAAGTACAGCTTCGGAACGTAGTTTCTTTCACCTTGCATTTCTTGCAGGTCAAAATCTGCACGAAACCACTTTCTCCCCATTACTTCATGCAAATGGTTAATTTCACCCGAAACACTGCATATTTTCCCCAGTACGCCAAAAAAGCTTTCACCACTTTCACCACTAAAAAACCTGTCCACATATTCAATTACCGCTTTTTATCTCTTTCCAGCGCCCCCACCGCCGCGAGGGATTGAGACCAAGATTCAAGAAAATTCCGACGACAGTAAAACCGTCCGCGTTCTCTTGACGTGGAAGCCGCCCCAAAATGCGTCCGACTCGAATCCAATCCTCCGCTATAACGTGACCATTTCGCGGTTAACGTTTAAAAGTGGGGGCGGTGTGACCGGACTGATGTCGTCGGCGGCATCTTCCTCAGCCAGAAATCATCTCAACCTGAATGGAACTTTCCCCTATTTGAATTTCAGCGGGTCCACTTTCACCAAACTGATGCGACCCTCGCCCAACGCGAATTCCAACTCCAACTCGACAACCGTCTCAGGGGTGAGTGGTCAAATTAATAAAGTTTTGTGGGTCATGCGGGGGCAAAGAATTTATTGAAAGTAAGAGTGAAAGTTGGGATCTGGGGGCGCTTTCACTTTCGACAAGAGTTGCGTAACATGGTGGTAAAGAAAAAATGTCAAGTTTTGCATATATGGAATTATTGGTGCTGTGGGAAAACTGAGAATTTTATATAAAACTGAGAAGCTCGACCTTTGGCATATGTATGAAAAGTGAAAGATGCATTTTGTGCTAAGTTGAAAAGTGGTTGGTGGTAAGATGTGCTAACTCCAACGTTAAACTCATTGGCTGTGAACAACTTTGCACCAACCGCTGTTTAAGTTAGCACATAATGCAACTTAAACTTTTGGCATATCATATTCGTAGGTGTATTATGTGCTAAGTGATGTTTCATATTTCCAATGGTAGAATTCCTTGATGGAGACATAGGAAATACAAGTATAACGGCCAAAAAATCAGTTAGCACATAATGCATCTTAAAAATGTTTGCATATCGTGATTGCAGTTGCATTATGTGCTATCTGATTTTTTAACCATTTCATCCCTCCCACTGTATCATCCATGTTACAGATTGAAATACAACGGCATTCAAATCAGTTATGCACTTAGCACATAATGCACCTTAAACTTTTCTGCATACGTAGTAAACAAAGTAATAAGAAATAGTGGAAGAGAAAGCCTCAAAACTTGGAAAAGTGGTTTATTATTTAACCTTAAACCGCACACGTGGAGAAAGCAATTTTTTCGCAGTGTCATATGTACACATAAATATTTGATGTTTGAGTAGTTTCTCGTCGTGATGGTGGTGGTGGTTGAGTGCACTCCCAGCCACAAAATATGTATGTACGCCAAGGTTTCCCCTATTTTGTTTTTCAAGTGAGCCTGCACTTGCTTTCTCCGGCGTCGTCCCCGTTTCCTGGATACGACAGGGACGACAACTGTGATAATTTTCAATTTTCTTTCACCGCAACTACACGACCACGATAAAAATTTAAATCACTTTCACTCCGTCGAGTTTGTGGATTGGGTTTTATTTTGCATATTAAAGTTGTGTGCCATAGTTGAAGAAAAAACTATGGGCGTACTCACGTTAAGGTTCGCAAATTGAGCATGGAAACTTAATTTGCGAAGTTTTGCGAGATTTTGCAAAAATTTTGCTGGAAAACGATGGGATTTTTTTTCGCAAATTTACCTCGCTATGTTCTTATTATTCGCAAAATTATTTCACAAACTCCCTCTCATCATATCTAGCAAGAGAAAGTACAGAAATCCATGGAAACAACGTCGAAAAAGGTGATCGTAGTGAGATTTGCGATTACGATACGACCTAAATCGAGACAATTTTTTTGATTTTTAAAAATTTTTTCTCAAGTTTTCTAGATGAGTTGCGAAGTGAAATAAGACCTTGCCGTGAGTACGCTTTACGTGGGCGCAAGTTCGTAAAAATTGGAGTACGTATAAAGGTCGCAGAGAAGTGAAAGTCAAAATGTGCATACAAAACAACACAATCTCCGAATTTATTAGGATTTGGGAAGGATTTATATTTCATTCAATTTTTTGAATGTAAACAAATTCGGGTTGACTTTCTCTTTCAGTATTACCTAATTTTGCGCCTTATATTTTTTAGAATGTAACCCATCTCAAGTTTCATGCATTAGAAGCCAATGCAGAATATCAAGTCGTGATTCGTGCCGTATCTTATCGTGGATCTTCTAAGCCGGCTCAACACCATCTCGTCACACGAATAGGTACGTAACGCATCCCGAGAGACACGTGGCTCAAAAAAGCTGTCATGGTAAAAGTGTAACTTAGGCGAGACAGATAGTGAGTTACCGAGTCAGCTTAGGCGTATTACAGAGATTGAGGAAGACTAATGTTTTGTGATTTTGATTGTAATCTTGATTGTAGATATTTACAATCAGAATTACAATACATTCAAGAATAATATATTTACATTCAAAATTACAGTACATTCACTTAAAATATAATTAAAATCAAAATTGCAATTCATTCACTTATAAATAATATATTTATACACAATCAAAATTACAGAACATTTACCTATAATATATTTACAATCAAAATTACAATCAAAGTTACAGTACATTTACCTATAATATATTTAAAATCAAAATTACAATCAAAATTACAGTACATTTGCCTATAATATATTTACAATCAAAATTATAATCACAGTCGCAAAAAATTACTTTGGTCCAATCTTTCTATTGTCGAAAATGTCCATTTTTTCTCGACCATTGACCATCGACCACGACTATTTTTTGAGGTCATCTACCAAAAAACGAACAATTCTACCGTCATTTTGGCCCCTACCATCCCGTTGATCGGGTCGGTTGTTCCTTGAACGAGGAGAAAGTTACCAGCGAAAAACTAACTTGTGTGCGAAGAATCTTAATCTCCATAAAATGCATTATTATCATACAAACAGCTTTCTTTTCTAATTATGAAACTCCTCGTTCTTTTCTTATAATGTCTTCATCTCATTCATTTCAGTTAAAGACCCCCCAGTCGCCTCCCCACTCAGCAACTGGCTCTACCTCGCCATCCCGGTCTGCATCATGATGCTCATCCTCGTCGCATGCAACATGGGACGAGTTTACCTGCACAAGAGACAAGTCAAAATTGCACGCAATCAATATTTCCAGGTAAGTTAATGGGGCATAACGCTATTTTTAAGCTTTTTCGTCTGAGGCAGATTTCTCAATGCGTATTTTGAGACAAAATTATCATTAAATGGGATGCATCGTTTTTCTAACGTTGGGCAAAAGCTGTGAGATAGCACAAAATGCACTTTCAGCAATCATATCAGTTTTTAGTCTCTCGACAGAATTATTTCTAAAACTTTCGGAAGTTTGTTTTCAGACAAAATCATCGCATTGTGTGCTACTTCATTTGCTCGAAAAATATGTGATAGCACAAAATGCATTCTAAAACAATTATTCCAATTTTAGAGTGTGTTAAATCTCTTAGCGAAACAATTTAAATACTTTCTGATACTCATTTTCAGTCAAGATCATTCTCAAATTCGGTACATTTTATGCTATCTCACTTCTTACGTGATAGCACAAAATGCACCTTCCCCAATCCTGTCATCTTTCCAGACTGTTTAATCTCTCCACAGAATTATTCCAAATTGAGCAACATTTATTGCAAATTGCAACTTATGTACGTGTACAACTTGCACTTGTATGCAAATTTATTTGTCTCTTTTCGAAGTGAAAGTTGCAATGTATTTTTGGCAAGTATCATGTCCTCCTGTTCCACACAGAAAATAATTTATTAGCCAAATCATCCCTTAAAATTCAGAGCACGTTTCACTCATTTGGCACCAGGCGAATCTTTTATCTGTTCTGTGTATTCGTTCATTTGACAAGATTCCATTCTCTCGAAATTTTGCAGTCGATGGAGGAACGCGACGCATTATCGGCGGACTGGTCTATCGTCCCCTTGACGGAGGAGACCTCGACGTGGAAACTGTTTGACGACAACTTTCCCAAGGATAAGTGGGAAATAGTGTCGGAGAACTTAATTATGGGGGAGGTAATTGGTCAAGGGGCTTTTGGCGTGGTGAGACGTGCGAAAATTCCGAGACGCAAATTACAAGTCAGCACTCTCAAATATTTGGACAAAGCCAGCCCCCGCATGGATGCAGACAGGGCGGACGCGGATATGGAAACGGTGGCTGTCAAAATGCTAAAAGGTAAATAACTATATAACAATTTAATTTCACTTGGTTTGCTTTCACCAGGCAGAACTGAACAAGGTTATGCATACAGTGGATATGTATTTATTTTCGAAAATCGGGGAAAAATAAGGTCAAAATATTTGCGAAATATTTAAGGCAAAATTATGAAGTTTTCACTAGGCATTACTAAACAAGGTTGAGTATGCATCTAGCGGATGGGTATTTATCAGGGTGCATAAACTTTTTTGTTGTCCGTGGTTTCTCCTAAGGGGGTGATGCAAGGATGAATTTTTTTCGAAAAACTTAAAAGTTCGGGAATTGCATGCGATTTTGCTTTGAATTTGGTGGTTTCCATGGCAAAATCGCATGCAATTCCCGAACTTTTAATTTTTTTGAAAAAAATTCATCCTTGCATCACCCCCTTAGGAGAAACCACGGACAACAAAAAAGTTTATGCACCCTGGGTATTTATTTATGAAAAAGCGCCAAATATTTCCAAAAAAATTACAAAATCTGTAATAAAAATACCAATTTTTAATCATTTTTAGACAAATTATTATGTGTACCACATTTCAATTCTCAAAATTTTTAGTCTAAAATTCGACTAAAATCGTAGGAATTCCGAAAAAACGTATGCATTTTTGAGAAAAGTACACGAATTTATTTTTTACATGGTTTTTCAAAACTTATCTCACAAGGGACACTCACGACCTGTCGTTTGAGTCCAGGGTACCCTCTATGTTTTTTAGAATCTACTAGGACCCCTGATGAAGGATTCCTTCATATTTCCGTGTAAAACTCATATTTGGCGCCATGGCGTGGCGCTAAACTTAAAAATTTGCATTTTCGACCAATTTCAAACCCTCATAACTTTTGCAGTTTATGTCGGATTTTTAAAATTTTATGCTTAAAATGATCACAAAAGTCGAAATTTTAGAGAAAAAATAAAAATAAAAAAATTTTAATTTTTGAGATATTTTTAGCATTTTTTCGACGAACCCAAAATTTCGAAATTTTGCGAAAAGTTAAAAGCGATAATTTTAGAAAAAATTTCATAGAATACGAAAGTTGAACTCCTTGTCATGATTTTTGCCAAAAATCTTGAAAATCCGTCCAGGATTTCAAAAGTTATGGCGGTTTTAAAATGTAAAACCATCAAATTTGGCGAATTTGGCGCCACGGCACGGCGCCAAATATGAGTTTTACACGGAAATATGAATGAACCCTTCATCTGGGGTCCTAGTAGATTCTAAAAAACATAGTGGGTACCCTGGACTCAGACGACAGGTCGTGAGTGTCCCTTGTCAGAAATATATATGAACAAAATATTGGAAAACTTTGAAATATTGAATAATATTCTGAAATTTCGGTGATCTATAAAACAGAGTCGAAAATACATAAATATCCGCCGCATTCATGCATACGTGCATTTTAAGCCGCCGGTTCTTATGAAAAATACCCACTTTGTTTACTCTTGTTGTTATTGTGTTATTTGGTTTTAAAAAATGTGTCATAATTCGTTTTCCGTCTGGAATCATGTATTTTTCTTCAAGTGGTTTCCAAATTGAGTTGAAATTAGGCCGACGTGAGGGCTCTTAACCTTAACTACGTTCATACATATGCCATTAAGTATGCCACTAATTCTCTCTCGAAGTCACATCACATCTCGATACACACAGATTGTCTCTGCTCTCTGCACTCTTTCATCATTAAGCGCAAAGTGCAGTTTAAACTTAAGGTCAGGAGAAGAATTAAGACTTTGAGAAAAATTGGAGCAGCACACATATTCACATGCATTTGCTTAAATTAGGGGAGAAAGTTTTCCCTGGAGAAAGCAGAGTGCACGCTAATTGTTTTCCCACAAGGTAAAAGCGAAAGCTTGGGAGAAAACAAATGAGTAGCAAACGTGTGACCAAAAACCTGCCGTGTTAAAGGTCAAACTTGCACCAAACGACGGCGGTGAACTTGTCTGGATTGGATTTGGAGGGGCAATTGGTTTGCGGGATAAGTGGCTGTTGGATTACAACGGTGGTCAAACCGTCGTTTTGGTCAAGGCGGGGGCGGGATTTTTAATAGTGTTTCGAGTGAAAGTAACCACGTGTAAGAAATCAGGGGGAGAAAGCGGTTTCTTGCAGGTAAATATTTTGATCTGGGAGAAATGCAAGGCGCAAGAAACTACGTCCCGCCGCGATAAATACTTCATACGGCTAGATTGTGCATATTTCTCACACTTTCTCCCAGTTTCTTGCACCTCGCATTTCTTACTTTCCATCGCAAGAAATGTATAGCAAACCCACAAGAAACGAAACACACTGGATTTTTTAACCCCGTCGCGAAAATTCTCACCAATCTGCAATTATTTTGCAAATACATACTTACTCAATTTGCTGAAATACAATCGACTTACTAATCACTACGCCGTCTGGTTAGTAAATGTCTGGCTCAAGGTTTTCTATAATTGTACGTATTTAATTCTTACGACCTCAAAAATTTATCTGGTATTAAATACAAAGTATTTCCAGCCGAGAGGATCAAGATATTTCCAAATACTTAAAATAATATCCAACTTTTCGTACAGCACAATAGCTTCGTACACATATTAACTCCTGCTAAGTAAGTAAGTAACTTGTGTAAGAGACTTATCTGAAGAAGAAGAGCACTTCTTCTTCTCCGAGTTATGTATATTAAAGCCTTCCTCACTTCAAAACGGTGCATAACGCTGCTGCTGCTCACTTAATGCAATTAACTTTCACCCGTCAACTTTTTACTTTGTCCGACCCACACAAAATTAGTGATTATGTAATTCATCCAAGCATAACATTCGTTCCTACGCCCATTAAATAATTGCACCTCGGCCACAACACAAAATAAGAACAATGCCAAAAACTTTGAGATGGAAGGAAATGCAGTTGTTCAGCAGGGGTGAAAATTGACATAGTTTCTTGTACTAATAATTGTCGCATTGTCACTTTCAGTTTCCGCAACAGTGGAGGACAGAGAGCAACTTGTCAAGGAAATCATGACGATGCAATCGTTAGGCTTTCATCCGCAAATTGTAGGACTTATCGGAGCCTGCACGAGAGGTTGGTACATATTTACATATTTTCTGCCTTGTCTAATTTTTGGAGTAATATTTTTTGCAAAAAAAATTGTAAAAGTATTTTAGTAAAAAAAATTGTAACATCTTTTTAGTAATAAACTTTGCAAAAATACTTTAGCAAAAACAAATGGGGGAAACATTTTGTGAAACTAATTGATGAAAAGATTTAGTAACACATTTTAGTTAAAAAAATTAGTGAAAAGATTAAAAACAAAATTGTAAAAATTGTAAAAACATTAATCCGGTAAAAATATTTTTAAAAAAACTGTTAAATGTAATTTTATTTTAGATATTTTAGAATTTAAAAATTCATGTATTTACTTACATTTATAAATTATTGAACATTATTTTGATATCAATATTTTCTACCCACTTTTCAGGAAGGTCACTCAGCCTCGTGTTGGAGTATTGTTCGGGCGGAGATTTGCTAACTTTTATCAGAAAGGTAGTTTAAAAAAAAAGTTTTGACAACATAAAAAGTTTCGTAATTAATTATGCAATTTTTCTCATAAATACTGTCAAGATTGTGTTTCCTTAAATTAATCTGAACCAAAAATTCTGACCTTTTCCCTTTATTTTTGTCAATTTTCTATTTTTATAAGCTTTAAACATTTCTCTGTTTTTGGCAACCCGACTCTGAAAACCGCTTTTATGAGTCGTTTCGTTTGTTGCAGTTTTACTGCTTGTTTTTATTATGACATTTGCTCTGACATGCAAAAAAAGTCGTGTTATGCACGCTGTTTTCCAGAATTCGAGTGGATTTAAGAGGAAAATTTCACAGCGGAGAATAAATGCCAAATCTTTTCCTTAAATGATAACTCGGAAAGTAAAAGAAATTATGCATAAAAAGTGTCAAATTGTCACGATCTCTTTTTTTTACCCTGAAATCCCGCTGTTTAATAAAAACTAGATTTCCAAGTGGGCAAAAATAAGTAAATATTTTCCTCCGAATTCGTACGTGGACCCGTCACCCGCAAGGCCACTGCTTAAATGTTATTCAGAAAATGATCTGGAAATGACAGCAGCAGCATAAACAAATTTTTGCATTTCTGTCAAATTACGTATTTATTTAGGACTGCGGGAACGTAGGGATCGAATTATTGACGAATTTCTCACTTAACTTAATTGCTTAATTACATAATTTATTTTTGTGCTTAATTGCGCAGCTAAATTTTCACATCGATTTCCGGATAAGGCACACATGCCTTAATTTTTTGCATTTTTGTCAGATTTGCTGTCACCGCATTATTCACGAATTTCTCACTTGAATTTCTCACTTGAAGGTGAATTTTTTTTTATTCTTAATTAAACTGTAACCATATATCGACATAATTTAGGTATTAATTAGTTACGCAGCTCAATTTAAGAAAGAAAATTCGCGTCGATTTCTGGAGACAGCACACATGCCATATATTTTCGCATTTCTAACAGATTACAGGATGCACCATCATCACATTATTGACGAATTTCTCACTTAACTTAACTCCTTAATTAATCATTGCATAACTTATTTACATGCTTAATAATTACGTAGCTCCATTTAAGAAGGGAAAGTCATCGATTTCTGGAGACGACACACACCTGACACAATTTTTTATGAATTTCTGTCAGTTTATGAGATACCCTGTCCTCGCATTATTGACGAATTTCACACTCAACTTAACTGCTTAATTAAACTGTAAACTTACGTCGACATGTTCGTGAATAATGCAATACAGCGTATCTCCTAACCAAAATAAATTATGCAATGATTAATTAAGTAGTTTAGTTAAGTGAGAAATTCGTCAATAATGTGATGACAGGGTTGCACTAATCCTAAGAAATATGCAATATGCAAAATGCAAAAAATTATGCATGTAGGACACACGCCATATTTTTTTCAGATTACGAGATACGTCGTCATCAATCAAATTAATTTCTTCTTAAAATTAAACTTCAATCTTCTTACATACGTCCAAATGCTTAATTAATTTCATACGTAGCTCCTCAATTTAAGAATGAGAATGAGAAACTCCATCGATTTCCTACCTGACACTTAATTAATCAATCTCTCTCCCCCCGTTTTTCAGGTGCGATCCAAATACTGGCCAACTTTGGGCTTATCGGATGCCAAGAAAACCTCGTCGGCGAGCATGTCGAGAGAAATGAGTTGTCGGACAGGCTCCGGGAGTGGGGGGAGCGGTGGGGCCCGAATAAAAAATTTAAATTCCGCCGACTGCTGCAATAACGAGAGTGAAGACAATTCTCCCATAAATTATGCAGACCTTGAGCACTTTTCGGACTATTCGTCATCCCCGAAAAGTGAACACCAGGGAAATCCCCTCCAATCGGGGGAAAGTAAGTGGTTAAATATAAATGTGAATAATCATAGTGGTGAAAGTCACCTTTAAAAAAAATCATACAAGGGCGAATATGGGAATAATTTAAATTATTCCGAATCTATTCTAAATTAGGTTTTTTTTCTCTGCCTCAAAAAAAGTTAGCCATGATTTTAATGCAATTTACAGAGAAATGGAGACTAACAAGGAAGGCCTCCCAGCTGTTGCTCTCCGATTTATAGAAAACTAGTGTCAATCGGTCACAAATTTGATGAGTATGAAATTTTTGAAAGACACGATTAAGAAATTTGGAAAGTGTAAAATTTGCAGGCTTGGGCAAGATAGATACTTTAAGATACTAGATACAAGATACAAGATACTACTCGTATCTTGTATCTTCCACCCGCCTCAGCTCAAAGTATCTTGTATCTTGTATCTGGAAAATCCTCAATGAGTATCTTGTATTTGTATCTTGTATCTGATGTTTTCCATCAAGAGGAAAGTATCTAAGATACTTTTTAAGATACAAGATATTTTTTGCAAAATATGCTACCCGCGACATCAAAAGTTCGATTTTCTTATGATTTATGAGGTAGTAATTGTAATTTGTAAGAAAATATGCGTGGTATTTTTGCTAGTGGAAGGTGTTTTTAAATGCCTAACTACTCAATAGTAAGACTTTCATTTTACTGGCGATGCCTAAATGGCAAAAAATATGAAATTTTATCTTTTTTAAATCTTAAAAAAAATCAAAGCTATCTTGTATCTTGTGGAATATTTAAGATACTTTATCTTATCTTGTATCTTTAAAAATACTTAAAAGTATCTTTTACTTAGTATCTAAGTATCTTGGAAAGAACAGAGAATAAAGTATCTTTATCTAGTATCTTGGATTTTTTTGCAAAAGTATCTTTATCTTGTATCTTGTACCTGAAAATAAAGTATCTTGCCCAAGCCTGAAAATTTGTCGACTTTACTGCGCGTTTTCTCCTCTTCGGATGCAAATATCTCTGCCAAACGTGCCCCTTGGGAGATCCTGTCTTTCGCAAATTTCATCCTAATTAAATTTGTTACTGATTTCCACTAATTTGCTCAAAATCCGAGAGCATCCGCTGGTCTACCTGCCTTGTTAGTCTCGATTTCAATTAGAAAATTGAATTTTTTCCCAGGCATTGTTAACAATGCATCAATAACCACTAACCAACCTGTGAATAAATTGGCAATTAAATTGCGCCTCAACCTGCCTGCACTGCGTACTTTATGTGGTTTTTAAAAACCGCATAATTTATGCAAGAGAGAATTCTCTCTTGCATAAATTAGTGAAAACCCTGCAAATTTATTGCGCCCTCATCGAACTTTGTGAATGAATGTATAAATATTCCAACCACTAACTAAATTAATTCGTAGGCCAAATATTCATGATGATGATTTTGTTCTCATTTGTAAGTATTTTGACTAAAGAAAAGGAGAGAAAGTTGCGCAACAATAACTTTCCATTGTGTTTTTAAGGAGGGGAGAAAGCGGAGCAGAAATTCATTTCCATTGTATTATTTTCACCGTGTGAAATCTATACAGATGCATTCGTTGCAATAATTTGTGAAATCACGCGAGAACCCACAAAATCTAGCTAACTCAAGATTTATAACCTTTGCAAAATCCTCAAGTCAGGGCACCCTGAAGATTTAGGCGAATTCATGGTTTACTGAACCTGCAAGGTTTTTGGCTTATTGGGTAACGACAGAGATGGGTAAAATACCGTAGTTTGAGCTCCGTGCTTGTCAGGGTTTGAATTTCCGGGGGTGTTACACCCAGAAAAAGACTAGAAACTACATGGAGAAGACAATAATCAGTCGAAAATTGCGGGTTTTGTGAAGAAATTGGCTTTTTATCGGAGTCAAAATACTTTTTTTTTAATCGTGAAAACTAAAATATTTTAACAGCGATGAAAAGTTAATTTCTTCAGAAAACCTGCATTTTCGACTGACTGTATTTTTGTGTTTGTAACACCCCTGGAAATCCAAACCCAGGGAAGAACGGAGCTCAAAATACTTAATTCTGGCAAAGTTTTTTGCCCACCCCTGCATAACCATCACAAAATATGTAACCTTTCAACCTAGTCACTTTCTCCATTTCCAACTCAGTGAGTAACGAAGTGAGACTAAATTAGACACAAAATGTTTACTTTCCCATAAAAACATTGTAAGCATTAAAAAAAACCTGCAGAATTTTCACTATTTTAAAAATGCTACAAAATTTTTAGCATACAGAATTATCTAGTATTTGTAGAATTTTTTAAAATTCTGCAGATTTAGGAAAATTTATGGTTTACTGAACCTTAGCTTATTGTATAACCACTACAAAATATATAACACTTAAACCCAATCACTTTCTCCATTTCCAATTCAGTGAATGACAAAATGAGCCTTGATGAATATAAATTAGACACAAAATGTTTACTTTCTCCATACAGAAAACAGCCCGACCGGCCGTCAAAGTCCGCCAGGGAGTCATCCCTCGCAAAATGAGGAGGATGATGATGACGACTTTCGGCCCATTGATGAAAAGGATGTTCTCTCCTACGCGAGGCAAATTGCGATGGGAATGGTAAGTTGAGTGTCATGGGCATGCAGTGGCCGCGGACGTGTGGGGACAAAAGAGGGACAATGTCTCTATGGTTATTCGATGTCCACATCATCTCCCCATGTTATATAAAACCCTGCTCCCCATCTTACAATGTTAATGTCCCCTCATGTCCCCACTGCTTCCGCGGCCACTGGAAAAATTCAGGCTACTCAAATGTATGAACATGATGCAGTGGCCGCGGAAGGGTTCGTAGGGACGGAGGGACGACGTCCTCACGGTTATTTGATACCACATGATCTGTCCATCTTATATAAACTTCTGCCTCCCCCATCCTACAATGTTAATGTCCCCACGGCTCCCGCGGCCACTGAAAATAAATCTCTAGAGCGATTAGCATCGTTAAGTGTAATCCCCCGGAATTATTTATGTATTGGCTTCATCATGGATTTAATGACGGGGGAGAAAGTCTACTCTGTTTGACCAGAAGTAGGCACACACGTCCAACTTTTGTATGTATGCAGTATCATTGGCCGCGGAAGCCGTGGGGACATCTGAGGACATTAACATTATAGGTCATAGGATAGGGGAAGGGTTTTTTTTTATAACATGGGCATATTATTGGGACATAGAATACCCGTGGGGACATAATGTCCCGGACATTTTCCCTCTGTCCCCACGCTTCCGCGGCCACTGTGCAGTATCTGACCTTGCAAAATGTTTGTATGGTTGACACGATAATCCGATTTATTTTCAATTTTGTTGTCCGTTATTTTATGTGTCTGTGTAACAGTAACAGTTACATAAATAATTCCGATTTCCTGGCATCATTAGTGCAGACGAAGGCAGTAAATTCTGCGAAAGATGGGCAGGAAGTTGCACAAATAGAAAAACGAGGTGAACAGGACTGGACATCAAATGTACAACCAAAGATTATTTCTTACTACCAAAAATGAATGGGATGTTTCGCCCAATTTAATCCGTCAGTCGTTATTATTTACGACAATTTTGTCCAGATTTTCTTTAGAATATTGCACACTACGGGGTTCCATTTATAGCTGGTTAACCTTTTATGAGAGAGAAAGCTGAATGTCTGCATCTACCATATATTTTTTAAAGGATTTTTGCAGAATTTTCAATATTTTTTTTAATGCAACATAAATGCAACATTTTATTTTAAAAATTTTGAATTTACAGAATTTTCTGAATTTTTTAAAATTCTTCAGGATTAAAAAAATTAAATATATAATTTTAAAGCATTTTTTTAAGGTTTGCACAATTTTCACAATTTATTTAAAGTTCTGGAGGATTTTCAGTATTTAGAAATGCCACAGAATTTTAAATTTGCAGAATTTTCTATAGGTCATAAAAATCTCAATACGTATTTTTCAAATCCTACGTTTAAAATTTAAAAATCCTACAGAATTTTCACTACTTCAAAAATGCTTCGAAATTGTCACCACCTTTTCCTAAAAATTCTGCAGAACTTTCATTATTTTTAAAATTCTACCGAATTGTTCCTACATTTTCTAAAATCTGCTTTCTCCAATAATCATAAATAACATTTCCGGGGACACGTATCTACCTCATGGCCAAGTTCATTAATGGGGGTTACAGAAACCAAACCACATAATAAAAATAGACCAAAATATACTTTCCCCCCCTCGTTTCGCTACATCCGTAATCATTTCATTTATGAGCCATTTCTGCTTTCACCCAATTTCAGGAATATCTCGAAAAGAACCGGATCGTGCACCGGGACCTCGCGTGCAGGAACTGTCTTTTGATGGGGGACCATAAACAAGTGAAGCTTTCAGATTTCGGCCTCTCTCGAGATATCTACACGTGGAACGTCTACCATCAAAAGTCAAATGGAAAATTGCCAATAAAATGGATGGCCATCGAGTCCATTTTTACTCACGTGTTTACAACCAAGTCGGACGTGTAAGTAAAAAATAAAATAAAATAAGTACACTTATTTCCCCAAACATAAATTTAAATGACCATAGTGGAAATCCCAAATGACCATTTTGTGGTATTTTTCATAAAGACTAGCTGCACTGATTTATTTTTTTAAGAGACGATAAAAACATAATCAAAATCGGTTAAAAGAGAGAAAGTTGGAGTATAGATTTACAGTCAATGATTGATTTCAGTTTATTTTATGCTTTAAATTGACATCGATACTGCAAAAATTTCTGTTAAGAAGGATTGAATACATATCTTTACGAATTGATACATATTTTTTAATTTATGACAAACAAAGTTTGCAAATTTTTATTTGATCGGCATCCATATTTTTGAAAATTTTTGCAATTGTAAATGGATAATTGCCAATAAAATTGATGGCCATAGAGTCCATTTTTACTCACGTGTTTGAAACCAAGTCGGATGTGTAAGTAAGAAATAAAATCCGAAACATAAATTTAAATGGCCACATTTTCCTGTTAAATGGAAATCCCAAATGACCATTTTGTGGTGTTTATTTTTTCATAAAAAACGAGCAGAACTGCCTTATTTTTTTAAGAAACGATAAAAACATCATCAAAATCGGTTAAAACAGAAAAAGTAAAAATTTACAGTGATTGATTTTCAGTTTATTTTATGCTTTAAATTGACGTCGATACTACAAAAATTCTATTAAGCGTACAGTCATATTGGTTATAACCTTTCTGCCCAAAAAGTCCTGTTTTGATAGGAATCGAGCGTGCACGCGCTCTTCCCAACTTTTGCACGAAATTTTAAACTTTGTCCTAGAGATGCGAAATTTGGCATGCACATGCACCAACATATGCTGCATCATAATATAACATCAATTCCCGTTCCGTTCGCTATGAATTTTTCAGGAAAAATCAAAAACCAAATTGAATACAGGTGACATTTGGTTTTTGATTTTTCCTGAAAAATTTATAGCAAACGGAACGGGAATTGATGTTATATTATGATGTAGCATATGTTGGTGCATGTGCATGCCAAATTTCGCATCTCTAGGACAAAGTTTAAAATTTCGTGCAAAAGTTGGGAAGAGCGCGTGCACGCTCGATTCCTATCAAAACAGGACTTTTTGGGCAGCAATAAAAGGCAATTTCCAAATATTTATCTCCTCGGCATCAATATTTTACAAAAATATTTGAAATCCTTAAAATTTTTGCAAAATTTATTTATGAACATTTCCACTTATGCAAATCAGGTTACAAAATCTATCCTAAACTTTCACACATTTAAGAACAGTCTGCAAATATCATAATTCTAAAAAATAATTAAAAAATTCCTTCAAAATGTCAATAAAATATTTAGACTAACATTGTAAACAGAATCCTTAACCTTTCTGTTTTTTTTGCTATTTACATAACAGATACAGATTATTTTTAGGTAGTTTAAATATAGTTTTATTCACCACTTATTTAACCGCAGTCACCCTAACATAGGCACATAATCATTTACGGCGGATGGAGGGGGACATTCCCCCCCCCCCCCAAAAAAAAAATTCTGAAAAATCGTACACTCAAAATAAGGTAGTAATGAATCATCACGCGGAATGACTTTGTGTCTCTACCACGTCGGTTACAATTTGTCGTAGAAATGGTAATAATAATTTCAGGGAAATTCAAATTCATTACCAAATATTAAGGAAGTGAATATATACTATTATGTATTAAATTTGAATTTCCCTGAACTTATTATTACCATTTCTAAGACAAATTGTAACCGACGTGGTAGAGCCACGTAGTCATTCCGCGTGGTAATGATTCATTACTACCTTGTTTTGAGTGTATGTATCTTGTACATGTTAATACAAAAGTCCCTTCTTCTCCAATACCACAATGTTAATCTTCCCCCATGTCCCTCCCCCAACTTCCGCCGCCACTGTACATATTTATAACAGTCTCGAGTACTGCGTTGTACCCACCAAGCAACGAAATTTGTATTTATTCCCGATCAAAATGCCTTACTTACATATTCATCCATCCCACAGTGACAATATCCTGGGGACATTCCTAAACGTACGTATTAGTTATATTTACTGCTACTTTCTCCGAAAAAAATGCGACTTTCTCCGAAAGTGCGTCAGATTTCGGTTTGTTTCAGAAACGGAGTTATACATAGATATTTATGTACATATATGTGTTAGGGTGACGAGACGTTATGTATCACATTTAGGGTGACGATACCCTGTGGACACAAAAACTTCCACATTATTTACACTTAGGGCAAAATTCTCCCGAAAAATGCAACTTATCTTCAGAATTTCTCCGAAAGTGCGTCAAATCTAGGGTTATTTCTGCATCGAACCGCAGTTATACATAGATTTTATCTGAAGATATCGGATGACATAGAAACCCACATAATTAGAATACATGTTTTCTCATTGCTTTCTCCTCCGACTTTCTCTCTCCACCAACCATTTATTTAATTTCGGTCCGTATATTGCAACTAATGTGTGTGTGACAGTTGGCCTTCACCTTACTTAATGGGTGAATACATAAGAAAGTGGAAGGAAGATTCATGCACATGCAGTGGCCGCGGAAGCGTGGGGACAAAAGAGGGACAATGTCCCAGCTATTATTCGATGTCCGCATCACTTGCCTATCTTATACAAACCCCTCACTCCCCCTATCCTACAGTGGCAATGTCCCCACAGCTTCCGCGGCCACTGGGAGAATTTAGGCTACTCAAATGTATGTACATGATGTAGTGGCCGCGGAAGGAAGTGTGGGGACAGAAGGACAATGTCCCCACGGTTATTCGATGTCCCAATCTTATATAAACCCGGCCTTCGCCTATCCTACAATGTAATGTCCCCACATGTCCCCGATAGCTTCCGCGGCCACTGATTTCATCCCGCCGCCTCCTACTATCAGTTTTTGTTATGTAACGCAACCCTATTACACGGCGAGATGAGAACATTTTGTTTATTTTCTTTCCGCAGATGGTCGTATGGGATCCTTCTCTGGGAGTTGGTAACGCTGGGAGGAACGCCGTACCCCGGCTTGGGCAACACCGAGTTGTTTCACCTCCTTAAATCCGGCTACAGGATGGAACGCCCGGACAACTGTTCGGAAGAATTGTAAGTAACGTAACCAAGTAATAGTTTGTTATGACATGCAGTACATGCAATCAGGCTCAAGTCCGTCGTAGTCGGGATGAACGAAATGTAGCAAAAGGGAGAAACCTATGACTATTACTTCGTCCGTCTTCCGTAAATAGCGGTCGAAACTAAAAAATAGACATTTTAGAACTCGTTTATACGGTCACGAGGTCATTGCACGTCGAAAATACGTCGATTTCTGAAATCCCCACCCTTAACTACATTTAAAAAGGTTGAAATAGAAAATTCGACATTTTTGACCTTTGAGCTCGTCGACACGGTCACAAGGTCAAACGTCAAAGGTCAACATCAAAATTATCTCGATTAATTAAATCCTTTCCCCAATCTACGTCTAAAACGGTCGAAAAGAAAACATTCGACATTTTTTACCGTTGGCCTCATCGCCATGACCTTTTTTGGTCCTACAACGCCCATTTTCGAATTTAACTCCTCCCCGAAAATTAGAAACAACATATTGGCAAAGCACCTCGAAATTTGAATATTATCGTCCCAACGGACGGACAGACAGACAGACCAAAACATTCCCATAAAAGGAAATTCTACCCTTAAATAATTGGCATTTGTATTTCTCTTACGACTACACCCTCACGTGAGGCGTAGGCGACGACAGTCACTTCATTATTTTGACACAGAAGGACGAATCACTTCAAAGGCGACAAATTACAGGAGGATGTTTCATTTCCTTTCTAACGAAGTCTCGACTCTGTCGATGTTATGTGTCTGTCGAGATATTGAGATACCAACGAACAGAGGCCACCAGTGGCCGCGGAAGCCGTGGGGACATGTGGGGACATGAACAGGTGGTAGGATAAGAAAGGTTTATATATGATGAGCAGATGATGGGAACCTCGAACAACCGTGGGGATATTGTCCCTCACCCTTCCGCGGTCACTGGAACACACACCTACGTACCATTATTTACATAAAAGGTTAAATCACTCGATGAGGTGGAAATTCTGTTGAACTTTTCAAACGTTTTGTACTCCAAAAAGGGCAAGTTTTTAAACCTAAATCATGCAAAAAGCTAGTTCCATAGTCTCGTTTGAACCTACTTATTTCTAAATTTAAAGTTGTTCGAAATTCGAACTGAAGTAGAATATATGAGCGGATTTCAAAAAAGTGTTCTCAGAATTTTCCAGTACATACGTGTAACCAGTTCAATTAAAGGAAATGAGATGAAAGCTTTGAAAGAGAAGAGTGGTGATATTTATGTCGAAATTAATTAAATCCTGGGCTACGAACAAAGTATTTATGAGGCTGTCGTCGATCTAGTTAATGATAAGTGACTGACTCGAGAACAATCAGACGGTTTCCGAGAAACACATAAATGGTATCATAGAAGCCAGTACTATTTTTATTTTGCCCTTTTCTTTCCGAGGATGCAGTATTACATCAGGATGAGCATCATAATAAACTGTATTGTTTTCATCCCTCTTCACTACAGAGCTATCAATTAGCTCTGGGAATTTGTTGACATTTAAGAAGAAATTCCAACGTCTGGTCGTATTTCCAGAGGGCGGATATGTATTTTTTTTAAACGCCAAATAATTGCGAAATTTGTACGAAAAAAAACACAAAATAAGAATTTTCACGAAATCTGAATTCTTGGTTTCTGGTCCAATTTCTTTGAGCAAAAAATCGTGTCTCATATCGTTGAAATATTTATACACTATTTATACAATATATAATTTTGCAAAACAAATATTTAAAAGATTTACGTATTTTCAAAATAATCGCGGAATTATTTATAAATATTTGTGTCTGAAAACCAAAAAATATATACAAATATTTTGAAATTTTTGTGCTCTATGCCAGTTACTGAACACACCGACAAAGTGTCGTCAAATGAAAAAAGTTGAAAAGAAATACATATCCGCTCTCTCCTTATTACATACGAATTTCTATCTTCTACGTATTTACATATTTATGAAGTGATAAGATCTTATCGTATCGTAATAGTATTGAAAATCTGCTGCGTCGCAGATTCGATTAACAATCTTCTGCACACATATTTTGCATGCAAAAATTTATCCGATACATACTTTTGTTCGATGGAATTTTACCCATCAATCTCTCCTTTCTCTTGTCGCAGATATGCTTTAATGAAGAAATGTTGGAGGACTTCACCCTCCGCGAGACCAAATTACACCGAACTGCGAAACTACGTGCAAACCATGATGGAAACGAAGGAGCCGAATCTCTACCTTTCCTTGATGGCTGACATTCCCTCCGATTACTTCAGATTAGGTTCAAGGTAAGAAGATTTAATTTCGGGCAGAATTCTGGTGATCCACGTCCTTGAAATACTTTGGTTTCATTGGCAGATTGTGTGTCAGTCAATCAAGAATTTGCATATTTTATGATACATAGAAGAGTTGTACGAATAGAGATGTCCAGGGCATTTGTAGCATGTCTTATTTTCCCAAGTTTACATTTATGAGTTGTAAGAGAAATGGTGGAACAAATTTTAAGGGTATTTGTGTCATGCCAAAAATGACATATTATTTTTATGCCAAGAAGCCTAGGAATTTATTTATTTTCATGTTAAAAGATTCGGAAATTTACTTATTTTCATTCCAAAAATGTAATGAATGACTCGAAATTTATTTTCATGTCCAAAATGCATAAAAGTTATTTTTATGCCTAAAATGTCTCGAATTTATTAAGATGCCCTAAATTCCTTCTACTTATTCTCATGCCCAAAATGCCATGAATTTATTTTCATGCCAAAATGCCTCAAATTCACTTTCATGTCCAAAATGCATAGGATTTATTTTCATGCCCAAAATGCCTCAAATTCACTTTCATGTCCAAAATGCATAGGATTTATTTTCATGCCCAAAATGCCTCAAATTCACTTTCATGTCCAAAATGCATAGGATTTATTTTCATGCCAAAATGCCTCAAATTCACTTTCATGTCCAAAATGCATAGGATTTATTTTCATGCCAAAATGCCTCAAATTCACTTTCATGTCCAAAATGCATAGGATTTATTTTCATGCCCAAAATGCCTCAAATTCACTTTCATGCTCAAAATTCTGCCATTTATTTTCATGCCCTGGCCATTGTACACTAGACTTACCCCATAATACGCTCCTATACTTACATAACCATACAATACACAGCTTACTAATCCAACTTTCTCTCCCCTTTATAGATCTGACCTACTCCAAATAAACGAAACCACCGATGGCAGCGTTGATCTCTATAATGGAAGCTGTACCTCCAACAATGGCGGGACTGGGTCCACCCGTCACTCCAAAAAATATGCGGGTTACCACAACACCAACACGACATATCCCGCCACCTCCACCTCGTCCACCACGACCACGCCGACCCAGCGCCACAATCCTATATCCTGCTCCTCCTCCTCCTCCGGCGGCGGGAGTGGCGGAGCCCCCGTCGACCTCCACAGTTCCAGCGGCAGTGCCAAATACAGTACGAAAAGCGGTGGGGAAACATCCCGCCCAGGATATTCCCGCAGTAACAGCATCACAAGTAGTAGCACGAATGGGAAATCTAGCGCTAATTCGAGCGGGAAATTCACTCTGGGCAGCGTTCCCGAAAAACGTTCAAATATTCGGGGTGGCGGTGACGATGAAACTGACACCTTCCTCATGACGGATTTATCCCCGCCGAATTCTTCCCCCGATCTGGATCCCGAACCGGAAAGTTCGGAAACGTTAAATAATAATAACAATTTAAGCAAAGAACCGAATAATCGGGTCGATCCACCCGGTGACGAGGACGACGCCGGGCATCAGCGTCCCCCTCGGCGTCACCCGCCACTCCAAAAAATGAAAAAATCCCGCTCCACGACCGATTTTGACGGGGGGTTAAGTCGGGGGGACAGTTTTATGTCGAGAAGCCCCACGAATCCGGGGGGATCCACATTACGCGGTGGGGGGACACCTCCTCCTCCCCCCCTGCCGCCGTCCAACTCGGCAACCTCGCTCCAGTTTCCATACCCTTTTAGACAAGTTAATAATATGACCATTATTGAAAATAAGACTTATGGCTTGACTAACAATTAACAATGTTTGGGAAGGGTGTTACCACAATTTGGTGATAAAAGTGTTACCAAAATTTGGTGAAAAAGTGTCACCATAATTTTCATAGAGCTTCATTTCTGCCAAAATACTCGTACATGTATTTATTACAATGTTAATCTCGCTCGAAGGGGTCGAGGGATGCACACAGGAATATTTTTTAAACATTTTTATCATTATTTTATAAAATTTTTGGAAACTTTTGTGATTAGTTTGGTGTGATGGATATCAACAGATAACTAGATACTCGTGCGTACCTTGGTAAGCTAGATAAAAGAGAGCTATTTATAAAGTACTTATATTCCCGTATGAATAATCGACGAGTAGGAAATTTACGTAGTTTTTTGTAGAATCAGAATTTCGCACAATTTTTCTACAAATCTCGTAAAAAGTTTTCCAGAATTATCTGAATTTTTTCAGATTTTTTTCAGAATTAATTGGCCAGAAATCAATCCAATTCCTTTAAAAATTTTCCGAAACGCTATTTGTTTCTTGAAAAATCATATAAAATAATCTGCCAAGTAACCTTTCAGATTTTTTGTAGACTATTATTTTCATATTGGCTAAACATTTTCAGTAGTTCAAAAAACATTGACTAATTTTTTGTAAATAATTTTAAAAAATCTGCCACGAAACCTTTCAGATTTTTTTCGGACTATTAATATTATCTGAACCGTAGTTCTTCTATTATGCAAAAACGAATCGGCTAATTTTTTTGAAAATAATATTTTTAAAAATCTGTCAGAAAACCTTTCAGACTTTTTTCAGACTATTAACATTACCCGAACCATAGTCCTTCTATTCTGTAAAAATTGGCTAATTTTCCCCTGGTCGATTATCCATACTTAATAATAGAAATATATCACATGAATGAAAATGAAACACAGTATTGAAATAGACTCTTAATGTGACGAATGAATGACTGATGATGACAATGAGGGGGAAAGATTGACATGGATAATAACAAAGAAAACGGTACTTATGTGTGATGTGATGATGAAACAAATGTGATAATCTATTTATAAATGTGTAATTCTAATAATAATACTTCATCAAAAAATCGGATCTAACAACAAACAATATCGATTTACACATTATTTTATTTACGAAGAATTTTATTTTGATATTTATCATCCTAAAAATAAGGGTATTTTAGCTATTTATATCTAAAATTCACCGGAAAAAAGTCTCAATGTGCGTAGTTTAGCCAGTGGCCGCGGAAGAAAGTGTGGGGACAGAGGGACACATATGTCCCCACAGTTATTCGATGTCCCTGTCATCTCCCCATGTTATACAAACCCATCCCTCCCCCATCCTACAATGTTAGCGTCCCCCGATGTCCCCACGGCTTCCGCGGCCACTGAGTTTAGCTGATTGATGTTCATTCTCTCTCTCTAAATATCTGTCATATCAAATCTCGTCATAAATTCTAGTGACCAAAAAAAATGGTCATTGTCATCTCTCTCTTGTAAACTGTTTGTTACATACATAAAATGAGCTCAGAGTGGAATATCAGTGTAATATTTACCATGTAATATTTACTCAAAGAAAGCATATTTAAGCATAAAATTTACCTGAATAACAAGTAAGTAAGTAAATAAAATTTCTTATGTGTTTTAAAAAAACTGTGTGTTGCTCCACTTTCTCTGAATCGAGCTATCTATCTAAAAATATATTTAGAAAGTAGGTAAATAACTATAAATATTTTATAAATGAAATGATTAAATGTTTGGAATAAATAAAAATTACTCAATATTCATAAATTTCTTATTGCGTGCGTGTTGTTGTGCTTTCTGTTGGCATACATTTTATTTCCTGGAAGCTCACATGGCCAAATTGGTTTATATAAGCGACCACAATATCATAATGGCATATATGTAAATATATCTGCCATTTATGCACCACGTTGTCGATTTTTATTAGCTCAACGGGTCGTTGCACTCGATCGCCTTAATCTGGTGTGCTAAAGTTAAATATGTGTCTTAACCATCATTACTTAATTATTAATTTGCATGCCATTAATTTTAGGGATATGGATTGAATTTGAATCTTGGGAATTTAATAATTTTTTTGCTTGATTCTCAATCCTCTATGGAATTTATACAATTTTACGGCATTAAATGAAAATATCAAGTAAAGTTTTAAATATGTATTCGTCATTCAAGCAGCGTCAGAAATTCTGAAAATTCTCACAAACTGTCACTTTCTCAAAAAACGGAATAAGTTTCTGTGAAAGTTAAATTTCATGAGAGATTGAGAGTATAAATTACATGCGATTATTCATATTAATATTCTTACGATTCATGAAATTTATAAGTTTTTATACATTTATAAGTAGAAAGATGTTCAATTTCAAATCAAGAATTTAAAAAAAATCACAATTCTTCGTAATCACTCTAAATTATTTTATTTCTTGCACAACAAATAAATAAAGTGCGCATAAATAAAGTCAATTGTTCAAAATTCCGGTTCAGAAGAAATATACACTTAGATAAGTATGTTCAATTTCAAATAAAGTATTTTTCAAAAATTCTCAATTTTTCATAATTATTTGAAATTATTTTATTTCTTGCACAGCAAACAAATCAAAGTGTACATAAAATAATTAAGCGTCCGTCGTCCTCGTTTTTTCTCTCGTGCTTCTTTTCATGCTCGCATTAGAAGTGTACGTTGATGAAGAATTATTCATCTCATTCCGCCCACTTTGTCCGTCGTCACTCCCACTTCGGGAACAGAACATTGCTCGAAACGCCCTCTTATACCCCGGGACAGAAAACGCGTAAATTACCGGATTTACCGTGCTGTTGAAATACCGGAGCCACGCGAGCAGGATAAAAAATTCTAGCGAACAAAACGTCGGGTCGAAGCCTAACGCCAGAAAGACTGAAAACATCGGGAGGTACGAGATTATTAAAAATCCGACCAAAAACGATAACTTTTTCGCTAATCGGACTTGTTTAGAGCGCTGTTCTTTCGCATTTTGAGTGCTGATTTCTCTCATTTGTTTCATCGGGGCGGTAGCAGCCCTGCATACGAAAAAAAAGAATCCATGATTAGTTCCAAAAAAAAACCTTAAGGTTCTCTTGTATGCAGGTGAATTTTTGTTTTTCAACTTTCCCCTGCTCAATGTATTCAAATGGAGTAAGAATTAAATAATTCGACAAGCAAATCCGCCGACTATTTCAAAAGTGGAAATACTCTATTGGATTATGTTCCCCATATGAAAAGAATTAAAACTTAGCAATTTTTTCGGGCGCCAAAATTTCCCTTGGGGGGTTATGAGAATAATGGGAGATTCATATGGTGCACCTAGGGCACAGCATATCTATGGAACGGGTTGATGAAATTTCAAAAACAAAATTTTGTTAGACTCTCTGGATCAGTACCCCGATAGGTTTTTCGAACCGAGTTGGAATTCCGACTTTCAGGGGTTTTTCCCAGCGACGCAAGATTTACTCAAAAATTAGTTTTTCGCTATGACGAAAAAGTATGACGAAATGTTCATACGTTAGCGTTTCACCAATTTTTACTATGTTGCAAATTATTAGTAGTAGAATAAAGGTTAAATTACCCAAAAAGTCGAAATCGACCTGCGTGACCTTTTCTGGGGATCGAAAGGTCACAATGTCAAAGGTCACATTGCCCCATAAATGGGGTATCGTTGGAAAGGTATTGGCGAGAGGATTCAGAATATGTATACTTTGTGGGGTCTGAAATCACTCCCTGCAAGTCTAGAGGCAAACGAGCGAAAATCGACAGTTGTCCAGAATTTAACACAGCAGTGGATTGGGAGCTAACACGGAAGCATGCATGGGAAAAACTCAAAAATATTCTTCTGGCTCTATGTTTGCAGGGATACAAAATTTTACAAAATTGTAAAATTAAAATTTCATTGTTTTGAAAAATTGATAGATTTTACGAGGTTAGAATTTTTTTCTGATGAGAAATTTTAATTTTAATTTTTTATCTATTGTACTTCTATTTTCTCATGGAAGAAAAAATCAAAATTATAACTTCCTAACTTTGTAAACTTAAAAATTATCGATTTTTGGATGCAATTAAACCTTAATTTTGTTAAAAACGCACAGCGATGAACAGGCTTCAAATCGCCATTGAAATACATGAAAGAAGGGAAAGTTGAGACACAAAAATTCAAAACCCCCATACAAGAGAAAGTTAATGCAAAAATACCGGTAAATGCCGCCATACAAAATGACCATGGCGGTCGCCGGAAGATGAAAAATCCCCACCGACGCCACAACCACGTGTCCCGTTCGTAAATTAACTTTGCAATCTAACGGCTTCTCGCTCCTTGTCTCGGGCCAGATGGCGAGGGGAAGTGCACTCAAAATACCGGCGAGGACCCAAACCCCGCATATCATGGATAAAATTGTCCTCGTATTCATCATCCTTAAGGTGGAATAAGACCGTCATATATTTTTAATCTCATTCTACCCCAGTTCAATCTCTTTAAATGCAAATTTCTAAAATGGCATCAATTTCATTAGTTTTGAGATAAATGTAACTTTTCATACTTTAATGGAGAGTTAATTTTTGGTACTACAAGAGTCGACTTAAAAAAATCATTTTTAAGAAATTTATTATGAAAAATGAATTAGCAATTTTTTTTAATCGGCGTTTTGTAGTACCAAAAATTAACTTTACATTAAAGTATGCCAAAAGTTGCATGCATCTCAAAACTCATGGAATCCATGCATTTTAGAAATTTGCACTTACGACGTTAAATAGGAGCAGAGTGAGATTAAAAATCTATTCCGCATAAAATCGTAATTAGGGCATCCAAAACCGAAAGATTTTGAAAAGCTGATTTACGATTTTGAAAAACTTTCATAAAACCGGTTTTCGATTTTTAGCCCGGTTTTTTAAACCAGCTTTACACCGAATTTTAAAAATTTAGCCTAATAAAATTTAAAGTATAACTAAATTGAGGCATTAATTTCTTTTTAAAAAATAGATAAAACTTAAAACCCCTTTTACGTCAAATAGAAAACCGGTTTAAAAAAATCTTTAACCCCGGTTTTGCATCCCCTAATCGTCACCCAATATTACCTCAAATGTTTCAGCGGATACCGAACCCCAATAAATCTCTCCACACAAACCGCCAACGTTGATAGAATAGAACTCGAGCAGAACCAAAAGTGACCCACCGTCCACCCAATGCACCACCAGTGTCCAAAGTACCACCGAAGTGTGACGCTAAACACCGCCAGATACGGGAGGGAAAGGACCCCCACTAAAAAATCGGCGAGGGCCAAGTTCGCCAAAAAATAGTGCGTCGGTGACCTCAGGTCCTTCGGATACCGAAAAAATGCCCACAACGCGATAAAATTTCCAATCACCGTGGAAACTATGACGCCACTGAAGATGGCTGATTGCACTATTTTAATTAGTGTCCATTCCAGCGGGGGAAGTTCGAAATTTGATGTTGTTTCGTTCATTGTGTAAATTTTTTATTTTATTTTCCAGCAGATTTTTTGTTACACTACTTTCTTTTCGAACATTTTATCCTGTCAGGAAATAGTCAGTCAGTCACAAAAAGTTTTCCTGTTAGGAGCGAGTTTCAGGATGCAATAAACGTATCACGGTTGGTCTTGTGTTATGTAAAATGTTCCAGGAAACTAGATACATAAAAGAAATACGGGTTAGATTTTGTGGTTTGGTTTGGTTGTTTCTTTTGACTTTTTCATTGTAGTCAAGTTTTTGACATGTTTCTTATATAATTGGTTAAATAAAGTATAGTTTATTTACTATTGCGGTTACGATGCAGACCACATTCACAATTTTTTTATCCCTCTCCTTTGATAACCGGCAACCGGTTAAATAATTGAAGATTTCTTTAAAGCAAACGTACCGTAAAAAAAAATACGTAATAAACTTCAGCAACAGATAAGAAGTGTCCCTCATGAATGAAATTGACCTTTTGACCTACAAGGTCCCTTGAGGATCTTCCCCTTCCATTAAAAATTATTTGTCGATATCAAAGGTTGACGCGTTTTTAACTTGACTTATCTTCTTCTTATCGGTCCCGCAATAAACACACTTCAGTTCTTTAAGCTTGTTATACGAGTGCAAGTTCCACGCTTATTTTCTAACAAATAATGAAATCAGTTCGATATGTTTATGAAATCCACTCATTCGTGATACATGGATTTATGTTTTTCATATTTAATTGCATTTTCTACGTAATAATGGTTCATTTCTTGGTAAACAACCAGTTGCATTTACACGGAGAACGATTTGTCAGCCTTTTTTGCACATATCTACAACTAACCGGTTATGACGGAATTACGCAACAATTCTTCTAATCTTCTAGTAAAAAATCAGAGTACGATATTATTTACCTACATACATACGTAAATTTCAGAGAATATTGCAGATTTTTAAGCAGTTATTACACAAAAGATCCAATTCAACTGCCTGTAACATAACATTTTTGACGCATTCTTTCTTCTTCAGGGCCTCCCACCTTACATTATTCAATCTTCCAACATTTGCATAACGCAAAATTATCGAACCTTGCGAATTATAAGTTTTTTCCCCCAAAAAATAATAAGCCTGAACGAAGTCTACAATAACAAACTTTCAGACGCAAGTTGACCTTTTGCCTACCTGCTGATTTACATAATCATACGAAAGTACTGATTATTATGAAAAAAATCGAATGTTTAGAAAATTTCCAGCCAATAATTCCCACTGTTTCACCACCCTGTGGCATGCTAATAAGGTCAAAGGGTACTTTATGGCCTGTATTTTATAATTAGACCATTTTCTTCATAAAAAATGCATGCAAAAAAACGGTCTAATTTTAAAATACATACCATTAACACCTACTTATTTGCATAATTATATGAAAATAGTGACTATTGTAACTAATCGAATGTCTAGTAGAACCCTTCACAACTTAAATAATTCCATCCACACCAAGATCAAAGAATACAAACCATTAATACCTACTCATTAGCATAATTATACTTTGAAAATACTGATTACTATAAGTAATCGAATGTCTAGTAGAACCCTTCAAAACCTAAAATATCTAATTCCATCCACACCAAGATCAAGGATTCCCACTTGACGTGCGGCCCAGCCCAGCATGCTAATAAGGTCAAATGGTACACGTAACGTACGCTCATACGTACTCCACTTCTTACGCTTTTACTATGTAATTTAAGCCCAGCAGGGAGCCGGACATTACGTAAAATGAAATATATTTCAAAAGAAAGCGTGCACCGGATGAAATTCTCTTTCAACTTGGACAAGAAGAAAACTACTGTCGAAACGTCGTAATGCATAATAATAAGCACTTCTTGAACCAACAATGTAAAATGTTGTGTAACACTAACAACACAGATCTTTCCAACTCCTAGTTTGATTAGGTACGCACGTGCAGCTTAAGGTAACTCACTTTCATCGTCTTTCATGTTTTATGATGATATGTATGACCGATTGTACAGTAGAAAAGGTCGAGAGGGCGGGTTAATAATGGAGGAATGGTAAAACAGGTGGGATATTATTATGTCATCCATAATAAATTGGAGCAGATATAATAAACTGGCGGAAACTGAGTGAATTAAATGCGTACTTGAAGCGACCTTTGACCTTATTTACTTAAAATTAGTCACCATCATAGTTATGAAAATCAAGGTCCAACTTGACTTTTGACCTCACGCCAGGGTCATTTCGACCTTGGCTGCAGGGACTCCAGCTCTGAACAGGCTCAAAAATGGCGAAAACGACGTTTGATTGTGTTCAGGCGTTCTGGAAATATTTAGCCTGCTTACACACGGATGGACGGACGGACGGACAAAACGATAACATAAAGCGGCTTACACCATTTAGTAAGTAAGTAAATTCATGCTTAGTACGGACGGACGGACAAAACGATCACAAAAACTCCGCATCACTTCTTTTACCTCGTTAATAATATGGGGTGACCTTCAAGGATGCAGAAATATATATGAGTCGCCTCCTCCACTCTTTCAAAGCCCACGTCCAAATTAATAGCCGGTTAGTAAGGTTCGTATTACTTATTTATGTATCCCCGTGTCTCGTGGGTGCATGGAGGATCCAGTTCGGTGTCTGAAAACTTTCTCCACTGGATGAATGCAAAATTGGGCATGGATTTCTGAACTATGTAAATATTTGAGTTACAATTTTTATTAAGTGACCTACTTAAATTATGAATAGGCTATTAATACATGCATAATTCGCCCATGAGACTTATGTACCTAGTCGGATTCTTCTTGTTTAATTTCGTACCCAATAAACTAGCCCAACTAATCCTTCAAAACGGAGCTTGATCACCTTTATCGGACCCTGTCAGGTAAGTCAATATACATATTTATCATCCCACCAAACTGTCCCTAGTGAAATTTAGTGCTCACTTTGTTGCTGATAATGCCACAAAATTTACTGGATAACTTTACACTTTGTAACTTTTACGAGATTAAAAACTTTTGGGTATGAGATCGCGGAAGAATAATCCAATCAGCGTGTCTCATTCTGTAAGAAATGCACCAAATTCTTATCGCATCAAGACTTTCACCGCCTGAAAATTATCAACGAAAATTTCTTACTTATCAGTAGCCGCGGAAGCGTTGGGACAGAGGGACAATTTCCCCACGGTTATTCGATGGCCGCATGATCTCCCCATGTTATATAAACCCGTCCCTCCCCCATCTCACAATGTTAATGTCCCCAGATGTCCCTACGGCTTCCGCGGCCACTGTTACTTATAATGCACGCGCATCAAGCAAGGCGACTTTCACCGCCAGAAAATTATCAGCGTGTTTCATTCTGAAATGCTTACTTGCGAGGCGACTTTCACTGCTTTTTTGTCCCTGCAAATTTTCTCGTCTACTTTTCCGCTAAATCATGCCGATATCACTGAAGATGAATGGACCGTGATTGAAAAGAGGAAACAACGGATGTGGGCAAGAAGAAGATGAGATTCCTTCTTCTCATCAATCGCCATCGGCCTGGTGAACGTGACCGGATGCAATTTGACTCTTTGGCTTCAAGAAGAAGAAGAAACCAAAAAAGTAAGTAAATGAAGGCTGATCCGATGCATCCATGCAGTGGCGGCGGAAGTTATGGGGACACATTTGCATTGTGAGAATACCTGTTCAAAAATTTAGTTTTCATTCAAAAGTCAGTCATCCCGATTTCTGAGTGAAGATTAATTTTCATTCACATTTATTCATTTTTTTCAAATTCATTTCATTCCACTTCATCGGACTTCATTTCTTCGCCCTATGTATTAATTAAGGTGAAAATTTAAATGAGTGAGAAATCCTTTCATTCATAGTCATTCATCTGAAATGACCAATTTAATTTATATGTAATATTAAGTTTCTATGGAAATGACTGAATCTATCAATCATTTTCATTCAAATGACAAGAAATTCTTTTTTCATTATCACTCACCATCGTAACCACTCAAATGAATGAAAGTGAACAGGTATGAATGTGGGATAGGAGGAGGGGCTTATTAACTTTCTGGTGGGCCAATGTCCCCACACCCGCTTCCGCGGCTACTGCTGGAACCATGTAGGGACTCCCTCAGCTCATCTGAATTGGATATGAGAGGAGAAAGTACTTCGCCGCGGAAGGAATGTCAAAAGTCAGTCTGTAATGTAAACTAAAACCAAACTGTCAGATAGTCACTCAATCATTCTTTTCGATTCTGGAGGATCGTCTAAAATAGAGAAATTTTTAAAACCAAGGTTCTTCGGAAACAATTGTTGAGAAACTTGGAAACTTTTAGATACAATTCAGTGTTTCGTTTCTTGCGGGTTTGCTACATACATTTCTTTCGCTACAGAGCCATAAGAAACGCGAGAAATGCGAGGTGCAAGAAACTGGGAGAAAGATATATAAGAAATGTATGTATATGTACAAGAAATATGCGCCATTTTAGCCGCGTGAAGAATATCGGCGGGGCGTTATTTCTTGCGCCTTGCATTTCTCCCAGGTCAAAATATTTCCCTGCAAGAAACCACTTTCTCCCCGTTATTTCTTGCACGTGGTTAAACTTACTTGCACCCTTAAACAATGTTTTCCATACATATTTCCATCTGTCTGATGGGCGGAGGAGGGACGACCTCATGGGATTAGATTGATATTGATTCCACGGTATTTGGTTGCCTACTTGGTTTCATCTCCATTTCCGTTTTCTCAGGGGGATTAAAGCAAAGTGAGAAGTTGACGGATTTGACTTTGCTTTTAACTCGTACATAGTCCAGTGGCCGCGGAAGTCGTGTGGGGACATTAACATTGTACGATAAGGGGAAGGCAGAGGTTCATATAACATGGGCAGATGACGCGGACATCGAATAACCGTGGGAACATTGTCTCTCCGTCCCCACACTTCCGCGGCCACTGAATCATGTTCATATATTTGAGTAGCCTGAATTCTCCCAGTGGCCGCGGAAGCGGGGGGACATGTGGGGACATTAACATTGTAGGATAGGGGAGGAAGGGGTTTATATGTATAACGTAGGGAGATGATGCGGATATCGAACCACCGTGGGGACATTGTCCCTCTGTCCCCTCCAGGTTCCGCGGTCACTGTCCATCGACAAGGTCGCTATGTATAAAACATATGAAATTGTGCAACCAAACCCCGTACCCGCTTTCTCCGTTACAAAACTGTTTGTTACCATTCATTCAAATTCATTCAAATCCAGTCTAGCGTGCATCTCGACAATAAGAAAGGAATGCTTTTTGCTCGCATGTCGTGAATATTTACGAATTACTGAAGCTAAAACTCATCAAGACACGTAACGCAATATAATTTGCATATCTATGTATCTATTGCATAACAGGCGTATACGCAACAGACAATAAATAATATTTGTATACACGTAGACATATTTGCCTTCGTCATAATATGGACGTAGGGTTTGCCTTAATCGATCTGTAGGGAGGACTGGAGATTATGTAATGATGAGGACACACGTTAATGGAATTTTGAATATTAAAAGATTATACACGCTAAGAAATTTTATAACCGGATTATCACCAAGTACTTATATGTAACTTTACCTGATGGTGATAATATGTCACCGCTGGATTGCACCACGTGGGAACACCCATCTCTAAC